TTGACCGGGAGGGCCACATTCCTCTCCTACTCAAACATACATACCAATGAAATAAGTATTACTGCCATTATTATTATTACTATTATTATTATTATTATTATTATTATTATTATTATTATTATTATTATTATTGTCATCATCATCTTCATCATCATCATCATTATCATTGTCAACATCGTTATCGTTATGATTATTATTTTGTTTAATTGATTTTTATTTATCTTAGATTTATTTCTCAAACAAACTGTGGCTAGTTTTCGCATCCATCTATTCCTGAGAGCTTCAGGATTCTAGTAAATGTGCTTAGTACGCATATTTTAAAATCGTTACAAAGAATTTTTTTCTTAATTTTCCACTGTAAAAATTGTATTTCCTTTTTTTATTCCCCGGACTAAAGTCGAACTTTTCGCTACAGCCACGTCTCTGTACGTTAACTGTGACCCAGAATAAACACTCTCAAAGTTGCCCTTAAGAATTTGCCTTACAGGTGCGAACGGAAATTAAAGAGATTCGTTTTTCTTACTGTTTTCAAAACACCAAGGAACATTTTGAATGGTATCATCCCAACAGCATAGACGACGTAAACACTCTTCTTTCTGTATCCCATAATAACCGCAGTCAGGTCGGAGAGATGGAATAAAACCAGCACAGGGGTAAACGAGCTCTAAGTTTGAGACAAAAGTTGTAAACAACAATCTGCACAACCGAAGTATTAAAACACCTAGTGGAACAGTTGAATTAATTTCCCAAAAAATAAAATCAAATCATAATTTAGTCACGAAGGTAAACAATTTAGTATTCATAAGTGGCAAGCTAGGTGCAAACGGACGCAAAACTCCCATCATTGTTAGCCGTGGTTAAACGTTCAAAAAGTCCCATGCAAACGGACGCAACATTTTTGGGTCCGTTTGCACACCCTGTTGCACGTGTGGTCAGGAGTTGTTGCGCCAAGTTTGAAACTGGTCAAACGTTTAGCTACGCGCAAACGGACGCAACAACTCCCAACATTGTTGGGCCAACAATGTTGGGAGTTGTTGCGTCTGTTTGCAGGTAACTTTAGGTCTTTCGTGAGGATATATCAATCAACGTGTATAATAGGTTCTCCTCGTTTATCAAACATTACTTAACAGAATAGTCATCAGAGTATTTGAATGACCCTTATCCTTGGCTTATAATCTCCTGTCTCTTATTATTAACGTCCTTATCAGCACATTTTTGAATATATTCAAGTACCAAAGTCTTACTAAAACTGTTCTGAATGTTTTTTTTTTCTTCACTGATTTAGCAGGACTAGTTCTTTTAACGATGCATGGCATACCCGTGCACTGCTATTTTGATTCTGATCACAGAAATCTTACCTGAGCTAACAGGATATCCTATCAAACAAAAACAGTTCTTGTTAGTACTGGATTACTTTACTGGTATCTAAACACGTACATTAAGTTTAGAAATACCACTGTTTGATGGCAAAGGCACCATAAACAGTAAAAGGATGGACATGTTTCGATTAATGTAACTGATATATTTTGAAAGCCAAGCCAATAAGATAGCAAAGCTTTTATCCATTTTTGCAACTTACGAAAACGCACAGATGAAAGCTTTCAGCGACACATATGTTTATCAAGAAACAAGAAGCTTACACTTTTTTTTGTTTTTGTTTTTTTACACACAAAATGGCGACTCTAAAGCAAGTCACTTGCACTTACCCGCTGCTAAGAGAAAGAGAATGACCTCGATCGAGTGCATTTTTCTTTTGATCGTCCAGCCAGAATCGAGAGTCAAGTGCGATTTAAGCCGTGTTGTCAACCAAATATCTTAAAATCTAACAGGTGTGTTTATTACTAACATCTTTTGTTTCATTTCTCCAAATACTAATGATGCATTTTGGCTACAAAAAATGTCTTTTTTGACTGGCACATGATGGGAATGTCAAACATTGCTTACCTTGCGTGCTTGCCATTATGCCATAAACATATCGCTCCAAAGGAACTAGCATGAAAAGGGGAATGACATGCAGTTTTTCAAACGAAAGAAAGTCTCCAACAGGACCAAAGCGTCATTCGTTTTCATTAACGTTGCCGCAGACTTAACGTACATTCCTAACATCAAATATGCAAGCTCGGGGATCGCGTGCAGTGATCAGTAAAATTTAGTCGCAAAGTAAATACAGCCATTTTATTGATAACTATCGATAACTAGAGCGCTATTTTACAATATGATAAACGGTATTAAGCTATCAAAAAAGGAAAACAATGTGCATTCATTTTACCATCCTATCTATCATGCGTTCAGTTTCCAAAGTCTAAATTTACCCTCCATAAGGACACTGTCTTTGTTACCTTTTTTAATCAAAAGTTCGCCTATATTAAGTAGCCGGCCGCGGCCACCCTTAGCCTGATTTTGAGGCTTTCTTGTGGTCACGCGCTCTCTCGCTTCCTCGTCAGGGTCCGTCACGGAGAAAGTAGGTGGCAGCGAGTGACCTGGGGCGCCTGAAAATCACGCTAGGGACGCCTCGTGCTTGTCTCTCTTTACAAGTTTATAGCGCCTCAGCCCAAATCTAACAAAGCCCCAATAAAAAAGAAATGCGATACAGTAAAAACCCACGTATAAGAACCTAGATTTTTCCAACTTAGCCCAAACAGATTCTTATAGAAATGCTATTTAGTGGGAGTTAAGGCTACTAAGCTACAATTGTAGGTTCTTAAATAGGTTTTTAATTTGATAGGGGCACTATAGCGACCAGTACAGATAACTACTACAGGGCATATGTGATAAGAAATATATTCCTATATTAAAATAATTATCTAGAATATAGTTTAGATGAGAACCATACAGTAAATTTATCTTTCCAAAGTACTAGTATGCATGTCTTTCATGCTGCAGTGTCCATAAAATGTTGTGTTGGAGAAGACATGATATGGTTTTCGTTTTAGTTCATTCTTTGAATCTTACTGGCTGAAACCTAGACTAATTTTTTTTTCTGTATTTTCAACTGTGCTTTCATTTTTGTAAAGAAAGAACCTACTGGAAATTTTAGGCTAAATAGGTTCTTTTGAAAAGGGGGTTTAAAATGAAAATTTTAGCCTAGCAGGCTCTTAAATTTTAGGTTCTCATATGCTAGTTTTTTCTGTATAGAGATCCAATAAAATTAAAGGTCTTATAGAGGTGCGTGGCTACCGCTATATTAAGTTGCCACCCTTGAACGTCAGAACTAAAAAAACGATGGAAAGTGATATTTCCTTGAGAACTTCAAGTCTTAGAATCACTATCTGCAGTTCGAGTTCGATTCGAGAGGATTGCTAGTGACTTAACAGAACGGTAGCTTTGTTGAAGGGCAAGGCATATATATGTTGTGGTCAGATCAGGGCCGCGCTCTGGCACAGACCAGCTGAAAGAACGGTGATTGCATTATTAATTGATTAAATGAAGGATAGAGTGAAGTTTTCCTGTATAAACGTTAAAACTAATTCTAATAACCGGAGCGTATAGCCGCGTTGTAATTTTCTCCGTATTATGGTTATACGGCGTGTCATGGTTTATTGCCGGTCCCTTGTTATGTCGTACAACTTTTTCATGCAATTGACACTCCATTTTTCCCTGTTATCATGGTGTGAACTCCATGCTGACAATTACCCTTTAATTTACAATTAGAGGGTCCATCCTTTACAGCCTGTAAGTGTCTATGAGCACCTTTGAAAGTAACAGTGTGGAATACCACCTGGAACTGAGTCATCATGACAGCACCCTCTTGCAATGCAATCACCTCCTGATATTCCATAATAACCACAGTCCTGTCGAGACTCCTGGGCAACGCCACAAGAGCCTGAAAGCCAAATTATCTACATTTAAATCTTTTCTCGAAGTATAAAAAGGCTAAGTCACAGTACGTTTTATGTTTATATATTGATTATTTTCGTGAAAAATGAGCATCAAACTTTAATATGGGCAAAATGCAATTCCCCGAATATTATGCCTATCTTACTTTGATACAGACGAGGTGTCAAAAAAAGTCGTATCTACGTTTTTCAAGTTGACCTGAAGGCAATCCCGAATCCGTGTTAATCTTCACCAGTTGGCGCGACCATGCCTTTGTGGCTTTTTTGTTTACAGTGTATAATAAATATATTTTTTTCTACAACTTCAAGTCGTGTTCTATGACCAAATCAAATTTTATTCACACTTTTATAAAATATTCACATTATATGTCGTAAGGTAGGAATACACTAATAAAGAAGGAGAAGAAGGAAAAAAGAAAATTAATGGCTTGGATAGAAGCGTACGGTCAGAGGAGCTTAGCTTTCGAGCAAACCACTGAGTGGAAAGACATAAAAAATGTGCGCTTGGTGCCATGGCAACTATGGACGATTATGTCAGTAGTCATTTTAAGTGAAACAGTCATATTACATTTAGTGGTGGTAGTTGAAATAATTGTCCTCTATTAATGAGAATTGATGAACTGCGTACATGCACAATGATTGCTTGAAAGAAACTGAATCCCCGGTCCCCTTGCTTAGAGCAGTACTAATTCCGATTTCATGGCTTGTGACCCCTGATCCCACCAGATCCCTCGGAACACATAAAGCGTTACGACTGTGTAATAGTGTCATTTGTAGAAAATACTGTTGAAATAGTTCTTGCTTTAACTTGAGTGCCGTTACCAAACCGAGTTTCGCGAGGGTTATTGCGAGATACGTATTTATAGTTTGTGATGAAACAAGACACTGTTAGAGAATATCAGTTAGTAGCGAAAAAGCGTCATATGAGTGGTATTTAGAAACGATATTGTCGCTCCTTTCTCTAGAATAACAAATAAGAATCTTTGAATGAAATGGAACATTGACTTCATGGCTTCATGTATATGGGACATCATCAACCATTTGAACCCTCAGGTAAAAGGCATCGTACCTGCTGGTTTCATTTGCAGAGTTTTAGTTGATCAACAACAATATCCTTTGGTGGTTAAAAAAGCTATTCGAAGTTTAAACGTTTGGTGTGTGTCTTTATATATATCCTGCCGCTTCTGTGAAGTTCGAGGGTAATAAATGTGTACCTTGCAGATAACGAAGGAAATATTTTAAGACTAAAACGTTTCTGTTCTTACCCCCAGAGCAACACTGCCTTTCACAGGCATCACTTTCGGAACTGGATCCCAGGCCAGAGCAGTCCTTACCGCCAAACTGTGGCGGGGGGTTGGTGCATGTACGGGATCTGGAACGAGTACCACCACCACAAGTCACAGAACAGGAACTCCACTGACCCCAAGAACTGTAACCGCCGTCAACTGATGAAACAATTAATAACAACATGTGTTTAAGAGTTTGCATGGGTATGCGGGAATGTTTACGGATTTTTTAGGAGGCCAAAAAACGACTGCCTAAATCCTGAAACAATTCTGTAAGATCCAAACACTTCTAATACGTGTAAACGCCGACCTCGCATTCTTATACAGTCATCTCTTTTTTAACAGACACCTCTATAAGACGGACAACTCCCTAGACCTGGCACCTACACTTGGCTTCTTTCTTTGCTTCTTTTAGTGGACTCTCTTTAAGAAGAGCATCTCTCTAAGACGGACACGATTAGTTCAGGTCTCAAAGGTGGCCGTATTAGAGAGAGTCTGATTAAACATTCCATATACGACTGTGTCAGTGTTTGTAAACTAAACACTATTCTAAAACGTGTATATTAAGGAGCAGGTACAACTGATCAATTGACATGGGCAGTTTGTTATTCAGAAGTGGTTCTAACCTAATTACAACTGAATATTGTTGTGAATAACGATCATCTGCACGAACTCCGTATCATTCGGCACCCATACATGAGCAGCTAACTCACTGCTACGAGCGAAGTTAGCTGCAGGTGAAAACTTAAAGGAAGAACGGGAATGCACCACCGTACTTCCTCCTACCGAAAAAGTTCCAGAGTCATTACAAATTCCTGCTTAAGTGGTCAAGAAATATTTTAACTTTTATTCCTCCGAACGAAATTTTAAAGTGATTTAACTATTCAAAAGAAACCTCTCTGGTAGTTCGCTTGTGTGAAATTATTTTTAATTAATGTTTCTCAGTATTTTACAATTTAAAAAAAATGAATACTGTTCAGGTGCTATGTATTGAAGAATAACCTGCTTTCTTCTCTCTTACTTGGACAATTGTTACCGATGCAACCTTCACTTTCAACGCTTGATCCCAATCCAGAACAGTCATTGCCGCCATATTGTGGTGGGGGATTTGTGCATGAGCGGGATCTGGAACGAGTTCCACTTCCGCAAGCAACTGAACAAGAACTCCACTGACCAAAAGAACTGTAACCACCATGAACTGAAACAAAACCGCTTTTGTCAATATAATTGGTTACTGGTTTAAACCAGCTCCCTTCACTGGTAAATGGAACCAATTTCACTTTAATTTCATCTCAGACACGTTACTATTCTTAAACCACTTCCAGGCTACAAAGACCAACTGGCAGACCTTGGGTGTTAGTCCAACCTCTGATCGTGAAGTGATACAGTAGTGAACACCTTCACATAAGAACACATGATTTGGGGGTTCAGCCTGATCTAGTTCTTATTTATCGGGTGTTTATTGAGAAATCAGCCTGAAGACGTTTTGTTCTTAAACTTTGTTTCAGAAATACTACACATAACATGAAATTAGTTGATCTTTTCTATTCAGATAGTTTACTACATGTATTTGATATTTACATCCTTCAACCAGCTGCAGCATATATAACATGATCCTCTGGAGCATAAAATCCTAAAAATACCCAGGCAACTGCTATAGTTTTGTAATTGTCTAGCAGCAACCCAGTGGTTACATTGCTTTCTCATTCTGACACCCTCTTCCTTTTTATATAAGAACACGTTTTACTTATCAAACTGAACTCGGTTTCTTATAGATATTTATATATGGTGCTTTATGGGCCAAATTTCAGCCTGTTGTTGTTAATCCATTTGTTCTTATATGCGGGTGTTTACTGTAGTGCCTTGGTGATGTGAGCGCCATCATCAACTATTGAAGCTCAGTTGCAACTGTTCGCTGTCACGATGTAGTTTTGAAACAAGCTAAAGTGCGAAAAAAATGGCGGTGACAAGTAGGTCAGCCATTTAATTTCCTTGTTGTTATTTTTGTTTTGTCTTGTTTTTTTTTTTGTTTTTTTACAAAACCTACATTGTAGCCCTGTTCAGAACGAGTATCGGTACTTCTACGCTAACCGTTTTCTATCATCGGCGGATGTGTTACCCGAAAACCGCGGCGGAAGGGTTAGGTCAGTCGGTAGGGCGCTTGACTGCAGAGCGGGAGGTCGCGGGTTCGATTTCCGGGGCCGGACCAATACTCGGAGTCTTGAAATAACTGAGAAATGAAGGTACTGCCTTTGGACTGCAAATGGCTAGACCTTTGCGTGGCTCGGATGACCACGTAAAATGGCGGTCCCGTTTCCACAAGCAGACGTAAAGTTAGTGTCCTCAATTTGTTCTTTCGTGCTTAAAATACAATGACACTCACACATATAACGAACAAATTTTTTATCAACCATAAGAACTTAAACCCCTATTAACTTTTTGTACCATAATCAGCGGCGCAACGAACGACGCAAGCTCTAGCAGTCAGTCGTGCATTTCAATTTTCAAAACACCGGGGAGTCCAGAGCTATAGTCAGGTATGCTGAAAACGAAGGAATCCAACTCAGAAGAAGTTTGCGTGACTGTATAGCTAGTACTGCAAAAATAGCAGGTTTGACGATTTTACTAATGTCTATGATCCAAGATGAACAGCCAAACTCAAAGCCACAACAAAAAGAGTTTTTGAGGGACGGCAATTATCAAATTAGGGGGGCGTCCTGTTTAAATTCGGTATTGAACGGCTTGCTTGGACAATTATTGCTGTTGCAAACTTCATTAAATTTCTATACAATTGAACGACTTACTTGGACAATTGTTGCTGTTACAAACTTCCGTTTGAGCATTAGACCCTAGTCCAGAGCAGTCGTTTCCGCCGTGCTGAGGAGGAGGGTTGGTGCATGCGCGGTATCTGTAACGCGTCCCACCACCGCATGAGACGTCACAGGAACCCCATTGACCCCATGAACTGTAACCACCATGAACTACGGGGGACATTGAACAGTTGAAGTAACAATCTTAGCTTTTGCAAATTACATCGGACACTATTCATAAACATACATCAATACATCGGACACTGTTTAGCCACCAATACACCATCGAGAGCAAGCAAAGTCGCATAACAGTATGCTGAGTGATTGAAGTCAAGAATGATATCCCCTCAGTTTCACATATAAGAGTCGGTTTTGTCTAGTATGTTTTTTTTTTTGCTTTGCAAAGACACCGACAGGACGCTTTGGACTTCTTCTGCCAAGACATGTACGAAATTTGGCATGTTTCATTGTTAGGCCTCAAGGAGAGTTCAGTTTAGAACGTGAAATTGTGTGCAGACCATTGTGCGTTATATTTTTCGGGTTGGATTCGGGATTAGGAGTTGCTACACCATGCCTACAGCCTTCGATAAAAAGAGCAATACAGATGATAGAGTGATCCCATGATTATGTCTTCCAAAGAATACAATGTCAGCCCTCCCCACCGTGTTGCTCACAACATATTTGTACTGAAATATATGTACCCTCCTAACAATAGACCCTAAGCCCCACTGTACCCCTGACACCATTTACTTACCAGCCTCACAAAGGACCCCACCGTACCCTGGAGGACAAGCGCAGACAAATTTGTTCACGAGGTCGCTGCATGACCCACCATTCTGGCACGGGCTGCTGACACACTCATTTATATCTGAAAGACAAATACAAATTACAGTCAAAACCCGCTTTACAGACACCGGCTTAATACGGACACCTCATTATTACGGACAGTTTTCTTTGTCCATGGCGAAAGAAAGCCCTTACATTTTCTCTAAATTCAACGTTAATACGGATACTTTCTATGCCCCCCTCAATGTCCGTGTGACATATCTATGAGTTTTGACTGTCCTCAGATCAAGGTCAGTTCAAAAAATAAAGACCCAAAGCAGATAGGATTGTCCTAACGCCCTACCGGCGGGGGGGGGGTACTTGGGTTAATTTTTGCTGGTATATTTGCCCCTACCCCATTATAGTCTATTCTGTGGCAAAAACGTAATTTTCGCGATCCCAACTTATCTACCTTATTTTGAATGAAGAACACCTTACTTTTCACCTACAGTACAAAGTTCTGCGGTACGTTTGTTAACGGTAAATATGAAAAACTGTCTTACCCCAAAAATCAGAAAATTTGCGACTCCATTCTAGTAACTCTATTGAAAATGCAACAGATCTTTATGTAAAAAATATTTAGTGAAGATTACGACAAAACATGAAAGTAATAGCCCAGTCACTTTTGTCACACAAAAGCGTTTTGCCGTCCTCCTCTTTCCGCCGCGTCCTGTTGCGTAAACTCACCCATCTCCTAAACAGGACGGATAAAATGGGCATTTTTAAGTCTATGTTTAATGTGGGTTGGACGCTTCTGACCCTCTTGCGTTTGGAGACGCATTATGCGTGAGTCTCACGCTTGCAGACTAAGGACATTGATCTCACGCATCAAGGGCAATTTCTCACGCCTGACTCACAAATCTGGGCAAGTTGTTCTTTACCACATCATTAATAACGAAATTTGATTCAATCTCCCAGTAAATATTCCAAAAAGGCCCTAATGACGACTTTGTGTCCTAACAGTGCCATATCATAGAAACTGATGCGTTTCCGAAAAGTTTCGGGAGTGCTCATTCTCCGTTGGAACATCTTCAGACATTTCGGCAATGTTCGGAAGTCTTCGGAAAATCGTCAGAATTCTTCGGAGGTCGCTGGGAAAATCCAGATCATGACAAGACAAAAATCTGACGCATTTGACTCATCAGAAAAAGTTGGCAGGTATAGAACCTTCATGTCGATCTCCTGAAAGCGTCACGGCGTGGAAAACAGCGACATTAGAGACAGATGAAATTACGACAACGGAAATTTGTGTTGAAACTGCGACATCGACGAAGACAAGCGCAAATAAAATTGTAAAATACTGACACGGACATGGCTGTCTTCTTTTCAGGACGAGAAACGGCGTGTTTTGAAATTCAGTCTACCCTCTTAAGCTTTAAGGTGGATGATAAGAATTTGATTCAACTTTCCCGACAAGGTCACTTGATGTAACGCGTATGATCACGAAGATGGCTCCGCAACTTTGTATATAGGCACATGTATACTTGTAGATATACCGGTTGTAACATACTAAAAACCTTCTTGAAAGACCCTCGATTTTTCGTACTAGCTAGCCTCGAAAATTTTCTTTATAATTGATGGTTACCTAGGAAATTAGGTCAGGTTCCTGAACAGGTTTTCATTTTCTTATGAAAAGAGTGGTATTTTATTCTTGTTGCTTGAATAATAATAGTAATCTCTACTTGCTTATATAAAATAAAACTATAATAATAATTAAAGAGAAAGAGAAATCTAGCTTCAAAAAGCTCACAAAAACTTCTACGCGACGTCAGTGTGAATATGAATACAACGACCCTATTTCAGTTATTTATTTCTCCAAATGTGCTTTAATCGGTTTTGGCTTCGGTGGATAACACTTTCCTCGATCTGCTTAATCCTATGTATGCTACGAAAGCCGAATTCATTAATTGCTTTATTATTCATTCAAAGTAATTCCTAGTTTAAAAACATCTGGCTAAAACATGCTTACCTGCATCGATGTTAAGTTCATCTTCGATATTGTACGTTTAAGTTTGTCCAGCTCCGCAAATATTCTCCAAATAGCAGATGTCGCCTTCCGAGTTTTCTTCTTACTGTTTTTGCTACGTTTTTAGCTATTACTTTACCTAGTTCCAGCTGTAGTTGTTACTCTTGAAACGGGTGAAGGTGGCTCGATACAGTTTGTCAGGGTCAATACCTCCCAAGTTTGAGCGTAAACTACGACGCCATAAACAAAGATTTGGAAAAATTAACACCACAGTTGTATTAGATAAAGATGAAAATTTGTTATGATCAGGGTTACAATGAGATCGGAGTTGTCATAGCAACGAAATAACGCCATTACCTATTTTACTTGCAGCAGTATTTCTCGGCACTGGGAACTGTTCTTCCAAAATCGTTTACTGGAGCTTTTACCGACGATAGGTGCCTCGATGTTCGTGAAGTTTAAGCGAAACCTGTAAGAGCGTTATCGAGATATTCTGGGATGAAGTTTTTCTGGTTAGAAATACGGTAAAAAATTGACAATCTTGATGTTGGACTGTTATCTGTACTAAACGAAGCGCTTTTGACATGCAATTTCACCTCACAGTAGTTTCAATCTTTTTAAAAACGTGTGTGAAAGATCATGGAGATACCTCCAGCCGATTGCTAGAAAGAAGGATTTGATTAGTACGTATCGGGGCGCTCTTGTTAGCCGTAATGTAAACATTTAGGTCTACTTTAACAAATTAAAATTAATTAAATTTTTGACGTCATTTCCTCGTTAAACACAAAATTCTTCCAAATTTGGTCATCAGTAACTGGTTATGGTGAGTTATGCCCACGCTTTTAGCCAATCAGAATTGGGGAAATATTTTGAATGAATAATGATACCAATTAATGGTAAAACAAAGCACAACTATACACACCTGCATTTTTAATGCATGCCCGTTCCGAAGGTAACACGTACACTGTAAGCTCTTTATCAGGTTTTGAAAATTCTTTGAACTAATTATACATAAAGCGGGAATTGTTTCAATTTTAAGGTTGCTTGTACTGAATGGAAATCTCGACCCAACAAGTTTTTCCAAAATTACTTTCTTATATGCCCGTGACCCCTTTTTTTTACGTTCGTTAAAAACCGAATTTTAGGGCTTTCATTAGTAATAGATTTAAGTAATGATAAGAAGAATGAAATTAAGAAATAAGTTCTCTGGCAGTTTATGGAGAAAAGTCAGTTTATTAACTCAGAATATTTCAAGTAAAGCTTAAAACATAAGAACTGTGCACAGCTGCACGTTTTGAATTGGAAAATTACTAGCTTTAACAGCCTTGGCAACAACCGAACACTAAAGCGGGTTAATTAAGTTTATATCTTGATGTGCAACTAGTCAAGTTCCACTGATTTCTTTTAAGTGGTTTTTTTAGGTGTAATAATATTAATTGAAAGCCCAACGGTGCATATAAGACACTCTCACTACACCTCTTCAGTTTTGTTTGATAGTTTGGCGATGTAACAATTGTGTAGTCGACGTCATCTCATTAGTTTGACTGATGCAGCTTGCTACAGTTGTCTATTTGTTTAACATAATAATCATCATCTACTCCCAATAATAAATACATAAAGTGACTGCATTTCAAGCTGGTTTTCCTCTGTAAGGAGACCTTAAAAATAATTATTCCCTTTGAATTTTTACCCGTTGTAGTTTAAAAACGAAAGTTAATTTTAATTAGCTTTTCCTCTTTGAACTTTATAACAAAATACGATCGCCTAACCTGTTTCGCAATGTGTTCCTGTATACCCTGGGGCGCATACACATTGAAACGCGTCTTCTTCATACTTTGCCACACAACTTCCTCCGTTCTTGCAGGGCTTTTTGGAACAGGGTGTCTGAGAATTAAGCATTGACATTGTTACTGATGGTCCCATAACAGAATCATGTCAATATAGCTTATTCCCAAACAAAAAGAATGCCGTTGAAAAGAAGGATTTCCTTCACTTTAAAAACATTTCGTTAGAAAATTGGTCGAAATATGTACTACCAAGAGACTATATCTCTTGGTACTACCCATCGTGAAAGTACAAAAACAAAACAACACAAAAAAGAGCCGAATAATAAAATAGCAATTTCTTACCTTTATGCTGAAGTGATGAAAACTAGGATTAGAACCAAATTTCTCAGATTTGTTAAAAATGTCAGTCGGCAAAAGCTCGCAAACTAGTTTGTTGTTAGCGTTCGTCACTGAAGCTACGTTGAAGGAAAAACATGTTTTTGTATCAGCACAAAATTGGCCACACTCCTGTTGAGTTCTTAGTGCAGTTTTTTTTATAGGCAGCACATTCAAACGATGTTGGTGATGAACTTTAAAATGAGCATAAAATATGCCCTTTTCCTGATCTCTTTTCAAGCTCTGTGCATTTTGAAACCGAATTATTTGTTGTCCAGTAACGATCACTGACAAAAATAGCACCAAGACTATGCCGTTAATCATTTTTCGGGCTTAACTCTCAACTACCGGATTACTCTTGAGACGAGGTACGTATTATACTGATGTACGTGAACAAAATGAGGCCTCTTCAAAAGATTGCGTGTAATTTAATAGTGACCTAGTTATTTGAATCATAAATAATTCACACTAACGTTTTGCAACTGAATGCTGATATGCATGCAGGTGGCTCTATTTCTCCTTTTAGGGAGAAATATTTCTATATTGGTTCTAAATACATTTGCCAGCTTCAGCCTGTGTCAGAAAACTGACCAAAATCCAAACATTGGGAAGAATCAACAAATGGAGTGTTGCACTAAAAAAATAACGGCCACACAAAGCTTTAAAAGAAATAGACAGTGTCAATAATATTAAAAATATATATGAAAAAAAGGCACCGATGTGGACAGACTTGAAGAACGCAAAGCGGATTTTATTAGGGGATTTTTGAAAGCTTGTTATTGCTTAAGAGTTTAATTTTTTAAGGCTCAGTTTCATTGTTTATTGTTGTTAACTTTAATATAATGCCAAGGAGACCTATCCAATTCGTTTGACAGGAAGCTGTAATTTTGTCATCTACAAGACTGCGCTGGCGTCTAATATTAACTCGTAACGCACCTGGGACCTTGTGGTTATTTCTGTCTTCATCTGCCACATTCTAGTGATTTCGATCTGCAGATCTTCACACTGAGATAATTTTTCGGAAACCTTGGTAGAAGTATTTTTGTTAGAGCGTATAACCACATCAACCAGAGTGCGTTTCTTTATCCTGATTGTTTTAATGACAATGTGGGAGCTTTTCAGTGGCTCGTGTTTGTACCACTTGTCTGACTGTGTGCACGTTGTATTCTTTACAGATCATCGGCTTCCAGAGTAATCGGGCTCGTAAATTGAAAGTAGTTTTGAAATTATAACTAGCCCGATTACTCCCTGAATTGTTCTCCACTCAGTCCTATTACCATGACTTATCGTTGTTATTATTATTATTATTATTCAATTTTTAAGAATCATTATTGAAACAACCTTTTTTAAGTGGTTAAATTATTATATTACTTACGCCAATTAATTCATGGGAGGTAGTTTAAAATCATAAGCAATGCGAATAAAGAATGCTACCCAAGAGGGGTGGAGATAGATGACTAGGCCGAATTTAGGGTTACCGAATAGGAGATTAAAGTTTTTCAGGATAAGTTTATAGTTGCTGTATTGCTTTAGGAAAAAGGTGCACAAAAAATCACTTAATGTATTTAACAGGAATGGTGCTGTGTCGTCATCTTGGGAGCCGGGTTTGTGGCAGGCCAAAAATGATTCCTAGAGAGGGGACGAAGGAGCCGATTCTGGTTGGTGAGGTGGTATCAAAGTGATTGTTACCTAGCTACCAATCCGAGAAGGCCGCATAAAAGGAGGAATACTAAATGGTGGATAATGCTTCGCTTGTCTCAATGAGGGACTCGTTTTCTTAGACCAGATTGCAAGTGTATACGGGAAAAGTTACAAATGATAGAGACCGAGTGGACCTGCAACGAAACTATATAGTCCTTCTTGACGACACACGTCTGCAAGCAGTATTCCAAATTAAGGAATTAGAAAACAAATATTGTAACGAGGAGAAATAATACATATAGACCGTTTCCTGAGTTCCAAAAACTCTTTCATTCAAACGCTAGCTAAGTGCAAGCAACCTCGTCCCCAGGGCGCTTTTCCCTGGCTCTGGACCCAGTGGAAAGCGCCCTAAAACTTTTCTTATGCAAAAAGTATTTTTTCTTTTTGGCGTGAGAATGAAATATCAATGGTTTTGCGCTTAGCCTCGTTCTAACAGACAGGATTCTAAGGCAACTTGGAAATGGCCTTTTGCTTAACGACTTCCAAGCATCACTTTAAAGTAACTTTTCTGCAAATCCTTCAACTGTTACTAGCTAAGACGTGTATTTGGCATTATTTCACTTGCACATCACGATACCTAGGGCGGATCCAGGTTTTTAGAGGGAAGGTGCATATAGCTAGTCAAAATGTCACTTTTGGCGTGATGCTTTGCAGAACTATGAGAAAAGAGACAATTAAAAGAGCTACATTCACAGTGAACAAAAAATTTATTTGTTTTTTTAAGAATAAAACATTTTAGCTTTGTTGAACAGCAGAGGCTTACTACTTGGTAATGAATTTATTGCATTTAAGATTGACAGTATTCGTTTTATATTTTTACAAGTTTTTGACATTAGCTGCCTTTATTTAGGAGGTTTGATCGAACCCCATGAACCCCTTTTAGATCGGTCCCAGCTTTACTCTAAGACTTGTCAAACAGACGTGTCATTGCTATTACTGTAAGTCGATTTTTGTTGCCTGCTCAAACCTTTCACAAAAAGTCATGCATACTCAACCAATTACGGCAAGAGGTAGGTGGGGTTAGGGGGGGGGGGGGTTGGGGGGGGGTTGGTGTTCGGTAATTTCGCAGACTTCGTGGGCGGGGATTTTTGTTTCGTTTCGTTTTGTTTTGTTTTTTTAATTCCTGTTTTATTTTTTATCCCCCGTCCCCTGCCCCCGTTCCTCCCCTTCCTCCCCTAATCCAGGTTTTACTTGCTTCTACAATGACCGCCTGGCGCCATCGGATTTTGAACAAGCTTTTGTAAAAAAAGAAAAAGGAGAGAAATGAAAAGAAAGAAAGCAAAAAAAATTATACAGGTTAGAAAAAATAATTGGAAACGACTTTTGGTTCGAGAAATAGGCCGGGTTGTCGAAAGATCGAGTTCTCGAACTATGGCGAAACAGCTGTTCATGGCTTCCTTAGTCACTGCCCGGAGAATATTGCCCATGTGTGAGGTACTGGCCAGGCCGTGGATTGGTGTATGTGTGCCCCTTGCTTTAAGTTTGTCTTATGAGATGTCATGTCGCTGCATCCATTTGGACTGATTTTATTCTAACGGACGGGGAAAGGGAGGGGAAAAAGATGGCACGGCTTAAGGGAAGAAGGTCCACCTGATCGAAGGTTAACTCTCTTACAAACAACTTATAGTATTTTCTTCAAGAATCAGTCTTCTGGCACGAGTGAGGGAGAGTTACCTCAGATTTGTAACTTGATAACAGTTTGTACCCAATCTGTTTGAACTCCAAATCCACAGCTTTGCCCCCTGGCCCTTACTCGGTTTTCTTTAGTCGTTGGGATGCGTCGATAAACAAAGGGCCTGGGTTCCAGGTCACTCCCCAATGGTCAGAAGTATGACTTGAAAAACTACACCTTTTAGTCGTCTTTCAATGTGAAGCTGTTGGTGTCTTAACCGCATTTGAAAAAATCATCGACACTTAAAGGCGTTAGAAGTTGGATTTAACCTTATTTTGGTGCAATTCTGAAGGTAAAAAGAAATGATAAATTCTTTCATTGCCGGATTGGATTGTATTGAGGCTCCATTGACGATAGCCACTCAGTAATACATGCTTGTGCATGACATTAAGCTAAAAATGCAGTGGAGAACTTTGTAGAAAGTATCAAGAAATGTTATAAAATTGCTATGAATACAAATAATCGTTAATTTCGCCGATTCTGCTGTGAACGGCGGTTCTTTCTCGCCAAAGCATTTGTTTTGTTTCTCTGTCAATCGCATGTGCTGTCTGCAAGTTCTCTGAGTATTATTCAGTTAACGAAAGCAAGCAAGCGTTTATTTAAGAAGTTAAGCTGTAACAACCTTTATTTACTATTTTTTTGTTACTATTATTGATATGTTTTTACATGGCGGGCTTCCTTTATCTACTTGTGTGACTACAAATGAAAATTAATAGATATATGCATAAATTATTGTCAGAATTCACTACCCTACCCCTGCTAAACGTCCAAATCAAAATAACTTCATGAGATCATAAAGTTTTTCACAAAATGTTCAGCTTTGAATTCTTGTTTAAAGTGCCCAGTAAAATCTTTGGTTACTGGGAAATCTGGACACAACCATTTTGCAAATCCTATTTGTGGTTTTGCGAAAAGATGTTAAGGAAGGAAATCCTTGAAATTAGGAGTTGGACTGTGACCGCTTTCTTGATGTATCCCAGATTTCTGTGATGGCTGGCAAAAAATTCAAGGCATATCACAACTAGAATTTTTTATGTCTCACCAGGCCAGTGAATTTCCCTGTATTTGTTTGGCTTCAGTAGCCTCAGACTTATCCCCAATACAAAGACGGAAATATTACAATATCAAGAAAGCCATTGTCAAGGTGGATTCAATAACATTAAGAAATCCTGATTGACCCCAATTTATTTCTGATTATCCATGGTGATGGGTTGATAATCAGTGTGTTTTCCAGTTAGTTAGTAAAATTTACATGTAGTACAGTTACGAAAAGAACAAAATTGTGGGATTTCTTTGCATAAAAACTAGAAACTCCAGAAGGTAGATTTCATGGTCAATGTACTATTAATACGTGAATTCATATAAATCTTTAATCACGTGTGAACGAGTTGCCTAAAGATGTACATGCTAGATTGTTGACTTTCGTAACAAACTGAAGGTCCCTTCACAAATATTACTTAAAATAACTGAACATAACACTTTATTTACACCATTCACACATTATATTTCTAGCACCTGCATTATTTGTCTTCAAATAAAATTTTATGCGACAATTTAGCCTTGCACAGTTTATGAGTACAGTAATGTGGAAAGAGGCTAGAAACGTGGAATCGAGGGTACTGATTTGAATTTTCAATTCAATATGGCATCTTTAGGTAATGTCGTATTTTATTGATCATCGCGTTCGTGATCTCCTTGACACACAAAAATTTTTTCATAAGCCCTCCTCCTCCCCATTCCTGCCTTTTCCTTGTTCTATAGTTTGTATTTTTCAGGCGGTTGATTGCCCTCACCTTCGCCGGCAATACATGTTTAATGAAAGTTTCAGTTTATATTTGTATTGGATTTTCAGAGTTTAATAAACTGGCTATAGATGTGCAAAATTTCACATAGCCATTTTTTTTCTATCATGTTGTTTGTATTGCCTTTTCGAACAGAGCACAGCACATATTTCATTCTGAGTAAGGTTTACCATTTTGTGGGTAGATTGAAGCGTAAATATTTTTTCTCTTACTGTTACTATTTATTAATACTAAGTAGAGTGTAAAGAGGCCAAGTAAACTATAATCTTGCTGGCCCCTAGTTCTAATTCTATTTACTGCTAGTAGTTTCCAGTGGAAAGCGAAGTGCTGCGAGTAAAGCATGACATTTCAAATAATTTGCACCGGGAATCTGCATCAGTTACAGTTTATTTTGATTGTTCATATTTGACATTAACTGTGTCAAATAACTGTGCATGTAATGCTACACAACACAAAGGCAAACGATAAAAACTGAACTTTGAACCAAAATAAGTGTTTATATCAAGCTACATTGTATAAAAGTCCATGAGAATAAATCAGCATATTATTTGTCTGAAACCTGGCCACGATAAAGTTAAGAGCACATGAGCGCGTGGGTGAGTGAAAGAGTGAATTTCCAATCGAGTTCATTATTAAACTGGTTCATAAAGCTTTGATCAAATCACTTTCAACCTTTTCTTCCATTGTGTATGAAACGTTTTACTACCAAGGGAAAACAAACCTTGTCACACTTTCTAGAAAAACTCTTAATAACTAAAGCAATTTATCAATTAAATAAATACAACAAAGCCTGGCTGAATACAAATTTAGCCAAAACACCGACTTTATTTACCGTAGAGTTCCAGGAATTGCTTGAAATGTTCTGAAAAACGTATTGCTCCAATTCACAGGAATTTTTCACCTTCACTTGTATTCATACTCTTCACTAGCACAAACGTGGCTTTCTATACGAAACAGGATTTCTTCCAGGCTTAAAGTTTTCCATATTATGCTTTATTTGACTGTGTTCAGAGTGACCTTTTGTTTTCTTTCTGAATCGATTGACTCCGAACGAAAGAGCCTCACTTTCAAATGCCATACTTGAAATCGAGGCGTATGCGGTGATATACGTACGTACATATTTACATCCTAATTAATCTCAAATGAAGCTGGCTTCCGGCACAGGCAACTGACGCTGGTCATGTATGTGACCTGAATTAGTCTGCTGCAAAGCCTGGTGGCTTTGCAGCAACAGTAATAAGCTTTTACTCTCTATGTTAAAAAGAGTTTTGCTTTTTTAATTTTTGATTTTTGAGGATATCATTTACAGGTGTATAGATCAAGGGCCGCCGTCTGCGACTCAGCGACAGAAATTCCATACTGCTGATGCAAAATCTGTCCGAAATCCGGTCAGAAGCGCTAATTGGTCAACGGAGTAGTTTCATTGTTCTAGCTATTGTTTATGAATGACAGACAAAAGGCAGCAAAGGTCAAATGTAAACACGATGAATCTCTTACAAAACAGTCAATATTTGTGGAATGTAGTCTTCTCTTGAAGAAGCATTTGAGAGTTCTGCTGGAGCTCATTTGCAGATAATCACAAGACTTTTCCAAAATCGACCAAGAGAAACGTAAAATTGAGCAAATTTGCATTTGGAACCCTATGACTACCGGATATATCAAGTAAACATTGATTTACATCATCAGTATGGAATTTCTGTCACTAAGTCGCAGAGACATTCGTCCTCCCAAAACGTCCCTCAGCGGCGATGAGCAAGGAGAAACGTCTGCCATTCGCAGGCTACCCTGGCAGCATATGATTTCCCTTTCAATTAGTGGTATTTTTGTAAGATAATTATTAACAAAACATACCTTATTATTTTGTTTTTTTATCTCTTGAATATAATATTGTTGTTTGTAATTACTTTAATATGATTTGCAATGACTGTTTGCATGTAGAACTGTCAGGACAATCACTGTATCAGAGCCAGGAAGAAAAATGGCAGGTTTAATGATGGAAGTACGTAATGCACATCAGAGACATTACACAAGTAGAGTCCTTCCTGGTGTGGGCATCTGTATTGTAGTAAGTACATTCTATCTTATTATGTTTTCAAATCATGCTAATTAATGCGCTAGGAAATGTTTACAATGTGTGTGTAGTCCCAGAAAATAGCCATACCTCCCCACAGAGAGCAACTGAAATTCTGAGGGGAGGGGGGGTCCAAAAGATGGTGATTTCCAAGGGGGTGGGGATGCTTACAGTGGTTTTTTTTCCAGTGGGTCTGAGTAAGATTGGTAAGTTATTAATAAATTACAGCTTCTCAGTTGAGGAAGCTATCAGTTATTTTACTGTTTATACCTTTGTTTCAAAACAAGTATTATTGTTTACATTGATCATCTTTTACCTATAAAATTTACGGTTGGCTAAATGATTTTTTCACGGTGCGCTATAGTTTTCTTAAATACAATATTTATTGTCATCGGCTCATGAACAAACTTCCAGTTATCTAGTTGTTGCTTTATTACACGTTTGATTTATTGTAATTTGGTCATGTGTTAAGCCTTCTTGTAACATATTCTAACTGAAATGAAGTACTGAAAGTTCACGTGGTGTTTAGTTTGAAAGTAACTGGTTCTTTTGCAGATGACATTATTCGTGTAGTCAGTAGCATAATTAACCCATTCGCTCCTGAAGATTTTGCCGAAAAACGCGTTTTGAAGCTAGTCGAGTGGTTTTCTGGTCATTGTCGTGCTATAAAGAGCTAAAACTTACCACAAACCGGTTTACAGGTCGTACACTTGGCGGCCTTCTGATCCAGATGCAAAATATCAGCTTGCGAAGTTCGGGCATGCGCAGAAAGCAAAATTTCGCATAGTTTTTGGGTTTAAAAGTGACACAGCAGTCTTGACTTTTACTTTTTGCTTTCTCTCCTCCCTTCTTTTTCCGCTTTTCTTGCCTCATTTTTTTTTTCTCTTGCTGGGCATTTAGTAGGCTTCATTTTGGTGGGAAGAGTTTTTAGGAAAGCTTTTAGGATCTTAGGATTAGGTGAAAGGAAAGGTAGGTGGGTAATGGAACAAGATTTTCATGGAGATTTTCAGGTCCTTGTCACGTGGTTTTTTGCTTCTTTCTCCGATGTCCTTGACTGAATTGTGCTCATTCTGGTATGGTTTGAAAGATCTCTTCACTCTGCACAAGTTAGCGAAGAAAGTTGTCCTTGACCGTTAAAACTGATGACGTCACAAAGGGTAGAAAGGACCTGGATCCGCACGGGCGGTTACGGGCGGTTCAGGGGCGAATGGGTTAAGGTATCACCTCTATGGTTAATTGTTAGCTAAGAACGTCCTTGAGATCATTAGACACCGTATACGTATTAACATATTAAATAAAAGATTTTTTCTCATTTTATCTCAGAAAAAATTATCTTTTGCATAATAATATAGTGTGGTGGAGGGTGGGGAGGGGGGAAGTGTATGACAAGCACCTTCTGGAATTTGTGGAAATTCGATACAGTTTACAGTGTTTTGATACAGTTTTTCTGATTCCATACCAATGTTTTTCATTGTTTTGAAAGTGATTTTATCCTTGTCTGATTGCTATAAAATTTTCTCTACTGATTGATTTTGGATTGAAGTTTGTCAAAAAGTGGTTTTAAGTAAAATCGGTATCACTTTGAAAAAAAGGGAAGAAACAAGACTGAAATAAAATTAATATCCAAATTGATGGAAATGAGAAGTGAATGACATTGGTGCAATCACTGCACTATATAATGACGTCACAATCTTTTTCTTTTCTTTTTTTTTCGAGTGAAAAGGATGCACTTTAATATAATGCTATTGTAGCATGTAAAATACTGTATGGAACCTACCTTGCCACACAACCAAATGTAACAATAATATTAAGAGACAATTTTTGGTTTGGTGGTTTGTGCTCATGGTGGTGTGCTTTACAGCTTAGAAATTCTGCCACAGGCTTGTGAAAAATCACAAACAAACTTGATTTTCTCTTCAGTATGTTAATGGTTTTGGAGTGTTACTCAGTTGTGTTATGTTTCATTGCTGTCTGACTAAGACAGAGCTATGGATCCGATTTCAGTGATTAGTTTAATTTTGTTAAAGTTATTGTGATTAATGCAGTACTAAAGTAAAAATCTGCACTTACGTACATTTTTTGGAGTCTGCCAAAAAGGTTCTTGTATTTTTGGGTCCTTCTAGTTTGATAATTTGTTACTTCATAGGCTATGAGTCTTTGACTAGTTCTTAATCATGTTCGTAAATTTGGTGAAGCAGATGCAACTGTATAGTCATTGACTACCACAAAACTTGGGATTGGTTCTTACTTAAATTTATACAATACACTGTATTTGTTTATAACTGTATTTTGATAAGCCTAAATAAACTGATTGCAGAATGTCAATGTACATCATTGACATAGCCAACATTGCATCAATTACGATGCAGAGAAGACCATCGCAGCGATACACAACTTATTGCAAAATGAGGCCTAAATAAATGAATGTATGAATTTCATATATATTTAAACTGTGGGATGAAGAAATAGATGCAAAGTAGGTAGATCATCACAGTTGCAGTGTAGAAATGCAATTTATGCAGTTGTGAAAAGGAAGCTTGAAAAAATCTAGCAGGATTCGAACCCTGACCTCTTCAATACACTCTCAGCACCCAAGTCCAATTGAGCCAGCAAACCAACAGAGATGCCAATTCTTTTGTGCATAATGGAACTATTCACCTGTGCTGTGTTAACACAAGAATTTATTAATTAAAAAGTAAATAAAACAAATAGAATGGATAAAATTTAGATTTACGTAACCTTCAAAATGTAATTGAAACAGTTAGTACAGGTATTGAGAATGCCATATGAGGAACAGCACTTTAAATTTATATTATTTTTCATCTTTTCACAGGTTTTAGGCATTTTCATGTTTGCATCAGGTATTGCAGTCCTTGTTAATCAGAAAGACCATGCTGCTCTTTCCTCTGTGCCATTTCAATCAGCAGCTGTTGTCATTCTTATTGCTGGAATTTTGAGCATTATTGCTGGAAGTGTTGAAGTCATTGCAATGAAATGTAGAGAATGCCCACCGGCAGAAGCAAAGAAATATTTATTAATAGTAAGTAACTGGGAAGCATCTTGTTGGTTTGTGAAGTTGAGGATAAGCATTCCATCCCAAATTGTGAACAATATCTAAATAGAAATTTTTGTTTACATAGTAGTACAGTTGAACTGCCATGTGCTACCTCCTGTTATAAGGGTACTCCTTTTGTAAGCAAGTTTGGTTCCAAAGAAGGCAAATTTTACCAGTCAAATCACTATTGTTGGAACCACTTATAAATGACCACCTCTAGTAAGCAACTGTAGCCACTTTTAGGGAGTGAGGTTTCCATTGCCTGTTCCGAACCCTTAGTTAGCCAGGACGTGCAAAAATGTTCTCAGGAGAGAGCATCTGACTGCATTGTAAATAATTGGTATTTCAATGGTTTGTCACCTCCTAGACTAGGAACAGTCTCATATTTTTGTAGTCCCTTGAGCGAAACGTGCGAGAAGCATAAGACGCTTGCATGCGTGTGCACCCTCCTTACTAAATCAGTAGAAAAAGAGAGACTTCTTGCAGGCTAGTCCCCTCCAATCAAACATAACTTGTAAAGGATCACCAAACATAATCATTTAATGCTAACGGTTTTTTTAAAGAAATTCTAGTTGTTGATACAGCTGAAGTTCTGTCTTGACTACATAGAGAGCGGCTTTTTCATTGATTTTAAGTCTTACCCCTGTACACACTCCTCCATGGCCATCTATGTTTCTTGTAAAGGCACATTCTGGGTTAGGGTTAGGGTGAAGTTTAAAGTGGCCAATTTGACTATGGTTGACCTAACAGATTGGAAATAAATGCAAGTCTAGTGTCCATTTTCAACAGAATTTAACTGACATTTACATGATTGTACTTCTTATTGGCATCATCCCAGTAAACAGCTTGCCCCTTATTGGAAGTGTTTGTCACTTTTTGAAGTTACACCAGATGATGCATTTTGATTTATCAGTAATCTACCAAGAGCTTTGAAAGTAGTAATACTGCTTTACATGTACTAGAAAATTTCTGTGAATGATTTGAATTGAAAAATAATGTTATTGTACCTGTATCTGTATTTTATAAAAATTTTCTTTTTTCCTACAGTTTTTGATTGTTCTTTTACTTTCTGCCCTGCTTGCCTTTGTGGCTGGAATTATGGCTTTTGTTTATACCGGACAGGTATGTCTTTATCCTTTTTTTTAAAAAAATTGTTTTTTTATGTATTGTCAAACCAGAAAGTTAAGTTTTTCCTTTCAAGGCACAAGACAATGTTTTTACTTCATACCAAAACTTTACAATAATTATTAAAATTATTACTTAATTACAATTATTATTTTATTGTGCATTATTGTCATTAATGCTGTTGAATTATTTGCACTCTCTGTTAGTTGCTCCCTATCTATTTCTAGATACACTGGAGCAAAAGAGAATGCCCAGGACTGCAGGCTTGTCACCTGTCTTACAACAGGGTTGTTTGAGCCAGTTAAAAATTAAAGTTTTGGAGTTAGAGTTATAAAAACTGCAGCTGTCTCTTTTTTTAGGTGGGAAATAAAATGGAGGATGACTTAACAGTTCACCTAAAGCAGTATGGTGTGACAGGTCATTATGGATCCCTTGTGGGTGTAAACAGAGTACAATCAAAGGTGCGAAGAATTACCATTGTAGTGATAGACGTCTTTAATCAGCCCATTCCGAAGGCACCTCCTATTAAACTTTCCTTCCCTCACTATAGCTAATACACATTGTTCTCAACATAGAACCAATGTTGTGGAGTCATCAACTACGCTGATTGGCGGAATACTACATATGGTGGTCATCGATATGACAAAGTACCAGACAGTTGTTGTACTGATCAAGTGCATGCCTGTGGATTTGAATTTGAACTTAGCAAGATTAATCGTAGGGTAAGTTCGCTTGGTCAATAGGGTGAGTATTTAGCCTATTGCATGATGATAAGTATGATATGAACTCGTCCGCCTCTTTCATCATATAGAGTAAAAAGTATACATAATACTTCATGGAAGGTGCTTGCGTACGGCATTTAACGCACGAGTTGTTGATGTGTCAGAAATCGGATGAGGGTTTCCATTTGACTTCCCACATTGCATTATTCTCAACCTGTTTGTCACCTTTTATCCTTCAACAGGGCTGTCTCAAATTGGTAAGGCGTTCCGCTTCCAATCATCTTAAATTGGTTGGCATAGGAGGAATACTCGTGGCTATAATCCAGGTTTGTTGTTTTTAATCATATATTGATGTATTTACTTTTTATTTTTCGTGTGCATCATTCCTTTCTGGTTGGATTTAATAATGTTTTGCTTTTTTCCTGCAGTTTGGATTGGCTGCCGCTGTTCAATATATAAGGAGGAAAAAGTTGGGCTGAGATAACTTAAGATACACCATTTCTGTTTACAGGTATGGGTAATTTACCCATACCTACAATAGAAAGACCTTCCTTTACCCACGAGAATTAGGGCTTTGCTACCGGGAGAACAATGATGTCATAACCACTTCTGGTCGCACGTTGTATAAGTTTTTACTGGTTTCAAAAATGTTCGCTCACTCGCTGACAAGTGGCCCTCTTCTCCCTTCCCATCATCCTCTGCTTCCGCCGTACGCGGTACGCGCGAAGATGACTGGGGACAAGTGAGGCCCACCCGTACCTGTAGGCAAAAAAAGTGTATCTTCAATTAGTGTCCTTATGACGCATAGCCACCCATGGTGGGTGACTGCTTATATTTTCAATGACGTTTTTCGTGTTTTAATGATGAGGAAAGTGCAAAATATAGGTTTAAGTTGCACAAAGGATCGATAGTAGTTGTCATTGCCGCTTTTTGAAGATTAAGTAAAAAAGGTGACTACGCACGAGGAAAAGAGCATGATCAAGACTTTTAAGGAGGGATGTTATCAAGTAATTTTTGTTCGACAACTGCCGTCGTCCTTCTGTCATTTTTGTGCCTGTGAAATGTCCCCGGGGTGGAGGCATTTGATCACCTGAATGGACCCTAGTGTGGGGCATTTGAACGGCATTTTGGCCCGGGTAGGGGGGAATTTGAACAATAATTTTCAAAAAGTCAAATGCCCGGGGGATTGCCCGGGGGGGGGGGCATGTTGAAGCTTCGATTTGACTGATACATAATAACCGTTTACTTCAACTTGAGTAACTTGGTTAGTTATATGCTTAATAGGATTCACATGAATTTCCTGTTTCGAAAATTCGCTAGAGTAAACAAGAATTAACACTTAATGACTGGTCCCCAGGGAAACAGTTAATTTTGTTTCCCGAGAATCTCAATGTTAAGTTTGTTATATAGCTGGAAGTTTTCTGTTACCCTCTGACGTCATAGATTTTGCTATGTTGCCCGCTCAGAGATTTTGGCGCGAAACAGTTCATTGTTAGATGTCATGTGACTTTGAAGTAACCAGTGGGAGCGCGCGCTAGCTTATCGTTCCCGTTATCGTTACCTTTACCATCATCATCATTATTATTATTATTATTATTATTATTATTATTATTACTTTTTCTATCCATTGGTATCCTTATCGTCCTCATCTTCATGACCGTTACTTTAATTACCTTTCTTTACGTACATATATATCTTCGTAAAACGTTAAAAATAGGTATCTTCTGTCGTTTATTTATTTACGGCCACCAATCAGTTATTAATAATCATTTGGTCAACTAGCATTCTTTTATCCCTCTTCACTGTCTCGAAACTTTCCTGTTTTTTTTTTTATAATTGATAGCGTCATGAATCGGTAGGGATACTGGTATGTTAACCTTGGAGATTGCGGACCAAAACACTCGCAGTTTAGAGATTGTTTCATAGGTTTAAGTCTCTAGTTTTTGTAGTTTATGGACCCATCTGCTTTGGGCTTAACTGCTTTTAACTTGGCAATCTCGTGGTCAATAGTTGTGGTTTAACGAGAGTAGACACAGTTTTTATTTCCTATGAGATTTTGCCAACCATATGGTTTTTCTGCTCCGTCCCTCAATTTTTTGCGTGAAAATTATGGTGTACTCCATTTAGCATTTAATGACCTGCACAGTTTGTGAAAAGTGCTATTTTCAAGTGTGCTCGCGTATTATCTGAGCTAATTTTATCATTACTTAGTAGAGACAAACAAATCAGTGTCTTATTCTAGTGCGGAAGGGTCCTATCTAGGTTTTGTCTTTTGGCAGACAATAAAATTGCCTTTTAGTCAATTATACACTTAACGTCAGATCCCGAGGGAAACAGTTAGTTTTGTTTTCCGGAGAGTCCTGATCGTCTCGGGAAACATCAGGACTCGAGGGAAAACAAAACTAACTGGTTTCCAGAGGGACCTGACATTAAGTGTTTTGTTATATTTCTAGACTTCCACTTCAACGTACTTCAACAACAACAAAAGAATACGCTTTAGCGGAGCGAATCAAAACAGTCGACTCGGTACTTATAAGAACACAAATTAAGTTCTCAAAACCACTGAATGAATGATTCACAAAATACTTTCCTTATATTATCTGCATCTTTTTCCTCCCGTCTAGCTGTTGTTTCTCTTGTGGGATAACTTTGAAAATCGTCGCTTTTAGCTTGAGGCTTCATGTTTCGTCGTTGTGTTCATTCACGAAAAAGAAAACTGACAGTGTTTTTCCCGCCTTCTGTCACGCCACTTTCCACCATGCTTTGATCAGGTGCTATAATTTATCCCGAGCGGGGTACATTCTTGATACAATGTACCCCGATCGGGATACATTTGATTTTATTCAAGGCCATGTGACCAAGAATCAGCCAATGGCTGTCCCTGTTTGGTTGAGTGAAAGTCTAGGAATATAGCAACAGTATATGTTAACTGGCGACCAAGTTGCTCTTTACAATCTGGAAACTGTGGAGAAAAATCAGGAGAGCTTGGTCGCAAGTTGTTAAGCTTTTTTTTACTAGTTGTAGATTAAGCAATGCTAAAGTTATATAATGTTGAGTTAAACTCGAGAGCTAATTAAAAAAGAATTTAACAATAAAATAGTTGACTGTTTATCGCTGTAGTTTCTGCACTGTTTTTGTTGTTGTGGAGGAGGAGGAACACCATTTATTTACTTTTCATTTTTCCAGAATAGCTTTATAAGGTGCATCAGTGTATTACGTTTTGTGTTTTACTTCCTTACGACGCAGCCCAATTTCAAGGAGTTGAAACTAACCCCTTAACTTAATCACAGTTTTGTCATTATTCCAGGGAAAATATAGGATGGCCAGATATCCCAGGACGGGTGGAACACAATCTTTATAAATTGATGACTACTACTATCTCTCCACACTTGTCTCTTATATGATGTCCAGATGGTGTAGCCCGAGTCGGCCCTTCGCCTCGCAGGCAGTACGTATGACCTGTCATTGCGGCTAGCACAAGCTCTACCTCAGCGATATTCTGTTGTCTCTTTAGAATTGGTCGAACGTGCGTACATGAAAATTGAAGAAAAATCTAACCTGCGCCTGCCACGCGGGCAAATAAGAAAAAGAAAAATACGCGGAGGACTAATTCATCGCAAGGGCAAGCGGAATGGTGACGAACGCAAAATATAATAAACAATGTGAATGCCTCGTGGTTTTTTATCACATTAACTCACGTGTAAAATTCCTTGATGAAGTGCAAATAATATAAACCGTGCGCCTTGTGTTGTTGTTGTTTTTTTTACTTTCTAATTGCTTCTAGGGTAACTTGAAGGATTTTACTATCTTTAATCAGGGGCCTGATTATGGACACCTGCTTTAATTAAGCTTGGGCGTTTTAATTCTGGTGATGAAAGCCATTGATTTTGCTTGGAAAGCTACTATGTTTTATATGTAAGGCTTGCCTAGCCATTTCTGTCACCAGCTTTTGAGTTGGGATAGCGAAGGTATATGGAGGGTATATATAACATTCATTCCCCCCTTCCCGCCTGTGTCAGTGTGCAAAAGCACTAACTCTGGAGTGACAAAATATAGTGATTTTTATGAAATTGTTATGCAGTGCTGTTAGTGATGGTAATGTTGATTTCACATCATAAGTATGAGTGTGCAGTGATTGTTTTCTTTACGGACGTTATGATAGTTCATATGGTCAATGATTGTATCACCTCTCGTCCACTATGACCTGTGGCCAAACGAATCAAGATAGCGCGCAGTTCAAAACAATCGTTCATGATATTCACGACTGGAAATTGCGTGCGCGTTTACTTGAGCGAAATCACGTTAGTCAAATGACCCAAATTAAGCTTGCTCGTGACTCTTTCAAGTTCTCCGTGTGTGTGTGTTTTTTGTTTGTTTTTGTTTGTTTTCTATGGGCTTGATCTGTATCTTTATTTATTTATCTATTTATTCTTTTCATTAATTTATTATTACTGATTTATAACACAGCTCAATGTAAGTTGGAAGCGGGAAGTCTATATGGCTTTCTGGTTACTCCCCGTGATGGCTCTTAAAAACCTCATTAATTACGTGTCCAATACTTTCATCGGTATTCCTGCAGAGTCCAATAGACTCGCTTTCTGTAACAGAATTAATGCACGTGACATTTCGAGACCTTTAAGAGTTCCTTTCGCAGGGCCTCAAAAGCAATCCAATGACAATCGATATGATGTTCACTTTACGACACTTCCGTAGCCTGCGTAGCAAGCGTTTCCAATCGTCCCGACGTTCTCGACGAACTCGCGCTGAAACGCTTGCTACGCAGGCTGGCACTTCCGAAGTGAAACTCGCCAAAATTCAAAATTTAAGGTCCTGGTGGTTTTCCACCTTCTCAGTTTTTTTTCTCTCTTACGATTACCCGGGTATCGAAATGGGCAGACTATGTGTATTATCAGGCATGACCTTATCATTATCATCATCATTATCATCATCATCATCATAATCATTATTGTGTTATTATTTTTTTTTTAGATTTTTTTACCGTTTCAGTCTTTTTCTTAGCTTATGCAACAAGGCAAAAAGTATAACAAGCGACAAACGTGACAGTGCGAGTTCTGTCCTTATCTTTCCTCTATTCTGGTCTTTTGCAAAAGTATAGGATCTGATTGAAGAAAAGGAGAAGTTTGGGTCACGCTTGTGACACAAGGTTTCTCCGCCGTCCTTTTTGGGTAACTGCATGAGGTGTCTTCTCATTTGATTCGCCCAATACCGTATTCCAGCTCAAATGGCAACGCTGCTTAATCTTTCCAACAAGTTGAACAAGAGACAGGTGACTGAAAAACTATCAATAACGATATCTCAAGGGAGCCAAAAGCGGAAAAGCAATCATCAACTAAGGTCTCATGAAAAATTTGCAATTGAACATGCTGATGCAAAGCGCGATAGTTGATGGAGAGGCGATGGTAGCTGATGATAGCTCAGAAACACAGTTGTGAAGGCAAAACCACGACAAACCAGTAAGGGTCCGCAGGATCTTTAGTAGACCTGGATCAGTAAAATCTTGAGTACCAAAGTTCAGACTTAAACAGTAAACTGATCCTTGCGGCAGGAAGAGTGATAGAAAAAATAGAGAAAGAGAACAAAAATAAAGTGGTAAATTATATTTGCCCGATATTTCGGTTTGCAACAGAAACCTTCAACGCGGACTATAAAAGAAAAATGAATACAGATAAAAGATGAACGTTACAAATGCGAGATTTGAGTACATAGCAAACAGAAAATGATAGGCTATCTACTAAAATTAAAAGATAAATGTCACTAATTGAGTTCATCACGCTCGCCTATTTATACCAGTGAGGTTCTAAAGTCTGAGGTGAGCCTCGCGTGCCTTTCTAACAGAGTCACGGTTGCTACGGGTTAGTCCTAAGGGAATAAGAAGGACGTCGTTGATAGATCGGCTTCATCAAAATGTTCGGAGACAGGAGTAGGATTAGGAAAGTGGCCATAGTTGAGTATGGAGCGGAGATGCTCCCCAAAAGGGTCCTAAAGCGTGAAACGACTAGACTAGAAACGACCCAAGTAACAATATTTTTACTTTATTCTTAATGGTAACCTTTCCCGTTTTAGTTAAGTTACTTGATGTAAGTTTTATTTGCCATGTACAAAATCTTTACATCCCATGGCCATTCTTTCGATTCCCAAGTCTAGTCTCAATCTTAAGTCTCAATCCATATTACGCTTGGGAACGCTTGGGAACGCTTGGGATGCCTGTGATCTTGCTGCTCGTTGCAGGCAATCGCGCAAAGCAGTGTGGGTAGTGGCTGCAACAACTTGCTTCCAGTCTCCCACATTTCCACTACAATTCAACATGGCGGCCAGAAAAGCGACACTCGTGCTAAATTGCCTGAAATATTCGAGGCAAAGTAGCAATCCGCATGGAGTGATTTTCAGAAGTTTGAGCATTTCAAAAGCTAAAACTTCCAGGCCCTCCTTAAGGTAATATTTGGTCTATTTCTGATGATTTTAGCCGTTTGGGTTTCGCTTGAAGTTCTTGGCCTGGTTGTTGAAAGCTCGGGTGACAACCCAAAGGTTGAAAAGCAATTCAGTTGAATTCTTTTTGTGTACGATATGATGATTGGATGATCCAAAAATTATCCGAGAAAATACCTTCGAACAAAAGGAAAAGAAACCCGGATTAAAGTTTAACCTCGAAAACCTGGGCCCTTAACTTTAGTTATAACACTAAGCAGACGAGAATGTAAAATCAACATACGTGAAAGCTTACTGAATAAATTATTGCCCGAAAAAAAATTGCCCGGGAATTAATAATAGGGCATTTTAATTTAGAAGCTTTCTACAAAACATGTAGCCTTATTTATAGAAGAAAAATTTACATTTTTGCTCCTCTGATCCATCAGTGGAGAGTGCAGTCATATATTTTTATCTGTATCTTTATGTTAAAAAAATGAAATCTAAGGTAAAGATTATACAGTTGAACCTCTCCACAACAGCCACCTTTGGGGCAGAAGAAAGTGGCCATTGTAAAGAGGTGGCCATTGTAGATAGGTTTTGAACAAGAGTCCATGTATGGATTTTATGTCTGCTGGGACAAAAAAGTGGCCTTTGTAGAGAGGTGGCTGTTTGCAGAGGTTCAACTTTATCTCCAAGAACGTTCAAAAGGCATCTTCTCCATGGTGCAAAGAAAGTCATTTTTACAGCTTGCCATTCGGGAAAGCTGAAGCTACCATTTACTAGCCCAAACATCATTTCAACTAGCCCCCAACATTTTTTGATGAGCAGGATTGATTTCATAGTTCTTCTGTCAGTTAAATTCCTCAATATACTTCACTTGCCCGTTGGGCAAGTTAAGAACAGAATTCACTAGCCGGATAGCAAAATCCACTAGCCCCTGGCAATCGGACACTACTTTCTTTGCACGCTGCTTCTCACAGGATATCTACTCCCTTGCAGCATTGACAAAACCTAGATCAAATCAACCCACTGTGACTTTCAGGAGTTGATGCAATCCTGGAATTTTTGATGCCTTACTCTCATGTATTGTCCCTAGGATTGCCTTAGCATTGATAGCTGGGCTAGTACACTGCCTCTCACCTTGACATTTCTGTTAGTAGAGTGAAGAGTCAATTCATGGTCCTACAGTCAGTACATGTATTTGGATTATATCTTGGCTTGATTCAAGTGATAGGGAGAATTGCTTCATTAATACAGTACTTTGCCCCTTGTGTTCCCAAATCTTGTAGGTAGTTGTACCTTTTTTTTTTGACATTATAAGCATCTTTCTTATGTACATGATATAAAGATTTGGGATCAATTGCTATTTGCTTCTATTGCTGTTTTTTTAAATGTTTTTTTTTCTTGTCTATCAATCATTTCTCCAGATGACTTGAATCAAGCTACATGTAAGAGGGACTATCACAGAATAAGTGAACGTTTGAGATCACTTGTCGCATGTGACATCACAATGCCTTGAACAGTTCGGATGGGTTGCCTATAATTTAAGTTTACAAGTTGATGGTTCTCAACCCTGCCTTATTTTGAGGTTTTGTTTTTCTAGTTTTCCACAATAACTTACTTTTCACTAAAATTTCTAAACTTTGATTAAAGGAGTGTGTGGAGTGAGGTCACTTGGGCCATTTTGTTCCAGGTCTCCATTTTTCAAACATGGTTTCCCTAATGAATAAGCAACCTCAAGCTCTTTTAAAGGAGTGCTGTTTGCTCCAGCCATAAATTTTCAAGCCAAACAGTAAAACAAAAAACACGTCATGTAATGGGAAAAATCAGGCTTCTGTACATTTTCTTTGTCTTGTTCTTCTTCTTGTTCTTCTCCTTCTTCTGCAGTTTTTTGTTAACTTTCTTTCCTGTTTGTTGTAATTTTGAATTATTTTTTTTATTTGTTGTTATTATAATATCAATTAATTTGGTGATATTTTATTTCTTTGAAAGCAGAACACAAAGTTGTCCTATGATTGCAAGAAATATGTGTTCATCACTTGCTTCACTGTGAGTATTATCTTGTTATTAACAGTAACAGCTGAGTATCTCAATATCAAAAGCAGCAGATTTTGCCCCAAAATCCAAATTATTCAGTCCTATGTTGATCTAGACACTTAAACATCAAAAAATAAATAGGTAATTAGAAATAATCATGGCACTGATATGTCCTGCATTTTGATTAGTAATTCTTCCACCTTAGCCTTGCTTAGAATATATTATTACAGGATATTACATGGTGGCGCAAAGCGATATGAATTTTATTTTCAAGTGGCAAAACAATATTTTACGAATGAGCACAGCTAGTGAGTAAAATATTGTTTTTGCAACGAGAAAATAAAATTCATATCTTCAAGCCGCCGTGTAATGTTCTTTTTATTATATAGACAAAAAGACATCAATAAAATAATAGATTTTTATTTGCCAAAAAGTAATTGTGACAGCTCAGATTTACAGTACAGCAATATAAGTCATTGGTTACAATAATCTTGAGAAATAACTCTGAGCTGAAAAGGGCTCTACAATGACAAAATATAAGCAAAACTTTGAAAAATGTGTAAGTAAAATTCAAAAGACGCAAGGCGCCTACAAATTTTGAAGGAAAATTACTGAAATTACGTTATCGATAAACTCACGTGTGAGATAATGGAAAATAAACCACTCGGGTCCCGGATGTAGTTTTTATGAATTTTACGAATGGTATATTTTCCAGTAAAACACTCGTGTCTATAAAATAAAAAGGAATAAATCATTATTCAATTATCAACACCATTTATACAGGGTCCATAATGGTAAATAAATTAAAGAATATGAGGATGCTGTTGTGACTGAAGTCAGTCATTAATTTTGCAAGGCCATATACAGTAATCAATGTTTTTGTATGTCAGCAACAAAATAAAACAAGCTCTGAGCAATGTTTGAGTAAATTGAAGTAAGCTTACCTTCATACAGAGATTTGTTCAAGATCGTGACTTAGGTCCCAAAGTCAGGTTGGCATGTCAACCACAAGGAAACAAGCTCTGGGTAATGTGTTCAGACCAAATAAAATTATTATTGTATTGCCAAGTTTATCCCTAAAATCTCCAGGCTTCTTTGAAAGAAGGAAAAATATGCCTGCTTTATTGTACCAGTATTTACATGTACAGTTTACCCGTAAACATGTGGATGCAGGCTCGTTATGACTCCAGCTCTTTTTTTTTAGTCAGGCGTTATTCAGAAATTCACCTTTAGAGCATTTAGATTTCAAGCACTCGGTGAATTCCTGATTTTCCTGCAAACATTTTTTTTCAGTTGCCGTGCCATATTCATGCAGTAAGAGTCACTCCTGGTCTTCTGCTTTGACATTTTGAAATTCAAACTATTTGAGTTTCAGTCACCAAAAAAGATAGAAGATAATCAATTACAGTAACAAGAACTTGAAACAGTGACTCGTAGTTCATACCTACATGTATATAGTGCTTGGGTGATAATTATGTCGGAACTATTTTTTTTTTTGTACAATAAAGGTCATAAAATTACTTAAAGTCATGTGAAACTATATCATGATATCAGATGCTCAAGAGGTGAATTTTCTTAATTTTTTATAAGTTCTTGAATGTTGTTCACCATTCTTTTTCAGAAACATTTCAGACAAAGATGAAGAACTAGAAATTCCAAGAGCTGCTGACTCTCATTTAACACCATCAATATTTGACAATGAACTAGTAAAGTAAGTAACACTATTAAGAATAAAAAGGTTCAGTAGCCTTCTTGCCAATTTTGTTTTTCCAATAACCATGTATTAGAACAATGGCCAGAAACAATGTCCCTATATCACTGTTGTGGTCACTTCAGAGGCCATAAACCAAGTACATGTAATATGATAATGTTATTTCATTTTATTTATTTGCTTATTTACTTATTGTAATTTTCGTGTTTGTTTAATGATGTTGATTTTTATAGGTTTGAACTTTGCCCACCCCTACATTGTTACATAATCAAAGAATGTCCATCAATTCTTTAGAACCACAAACGTTTGGTTTCTGTTAATAGTATTACCAGAAATTCATGTCTTGCAAAACCCGTGAATCTCGGAAAATTCGGTAAATTGGTCAACATTTAAACATAAAATTCATTGTTCATTTCTGATTCACACTCAGCAAATTTGTGAACTGCATGATGTGGGATGGCAAAAAGTCTTTGTCACAAAAAATATTGAAGATGGTAAGTGGACAATTAAAATTTTAAAAACGTACGATTAATCATCTTCAGAGTTTGACTCTGAAGATGACTACCGCACAGGTTGTCGAAATGTCAGTCACTGTCAACAACAACAGTCCTATTCAGGACTACGTTCACCCGGACGATCAAACTCAACCTTTTGAAATGACTCCTGGGTTCAAACCTTTCACAGCTGTACGATTAATATCAATCATTTGTGAGAGAACTTTACAACTGCATTTCTTACACTTACATGTCATCCATGTACAGTCAACTACAGGTATCTCTAATAGGGATACCTTTGGGACCAGCCCCGACTGTCTGTTTTAAAGTGGTGTCCAGTTTATAGAGTCAAGTTATCATGACACCGGTAAATTTTAAAGCTGAACCTAGCTATTCACAATGAATACACATCTGTTTAACTTGTGCAAAACCGCTAAAACTGAAACAGTGTTACAGAAAAGTGGAATTATTTTCTCATTGTGCAATCAAAATTAATGTTCATTGCAACCAAAAGTTCAAGGCTTTGCATTCTTAAAGAAGAGTAGCAGTATACACTCTATGAACTGGAGCACAACCACAAAATATCAAACACTTTGCAATTTACTGTCATGCAGAGCACCTACCATGTTCATTTCCGTTTTGAGGTATTTTTCACTGCATAATTAACTTCTCAAGTGTCCATTAACGGTTTCAAAAGTGTTCATTGTCAGTGTTAGAGAGGTGCCCATCTTTTATAGGGTATAGTAACAGTAAAATGAGTGAAAAATGGCAGGGACCAACACAAGGTGTCGGTCTTATAGAGGTGTCCATTAATAAGAGAGAATTGACTGTAGCTCTGTATCCTTGGCTTAAATGTTATTAATTCCCTTGTTTCAAACTCATTATCATGCATTGTCATACCCAAAGCCCAAATACTGAAGGTTTTATCCAAGGATAAAATTGAAACATAACATGTAAAACTTAAAATAGTTACACAGCTTGATGTATATATTATGTTACAGGTTAAAATGAAATTCAGGTTAAAATTTTTTAACCTAGGAAATTGAGAATCCACCTAGGTTAAAAAAATTTAACCTGAATTTAATTTTGACCTGCAATATATATATACACAAGTGAACCTCAAAGTGCCTCTACATGTGTACCTCTTTTTGTGCCAGAGAGGAAGTAAAGACCACTAAATGCCTTGCAAGTGTATCTACACTGTATTGTACGAGTACGGTACATGTGTAAACATCTTGACAAAGTGGCCAGTTTATAGAGGTGAAGGCAATATAAAATAACTAGCTGGGACCTTAGAAAAGGTGAACACGACTGCTTAACAGAGGTAACTGCTGAAAACAGGTCAGTTTACCAGTAGTTAAGGGAAATGATTTCCCAGACTTTGGTATGTGACTACTCAATAAAGGGGGACAGCCTAATACAGGTTTGCTTAATACAAGTTCGACCGTACATTTTGCATATTTATTTACCAGCACTCACGTTAACAACAGTGCATGACTCTATAAAGAATTTCAGTGCTTGACGCCTAGGTAATTTTCAAACGTAATAATAATTATTTTTTTGGTTCATTTACCTTTTTGCTTTTACCGGTTAAAATAATGATATTTAGTACATGTACATTCTTGTGGAGTTAATGTGCTGTCATTATCGTTTCATCACAGGCTCTGGAGGATATCAAGACAGAGCAACTACAAAAGTAAGGTTAATTTCAGATCCTTCAAGGAATAATTAATTACTGTCACCTCATTTTTGCTGTTAGTGTCAGATTGGTATGATTGGGAGCATGTCCTTACAGCAATGAATCTGTAGAACTAAAGACACCTTACAGGCTTTTCCCTCTCTCTCCTCTTGCTTGTACTGTGTAAGTGCTTACATGCAATAATGTTCATTTAATGTAGTTTCAGTGGGAGTAACAGCTGATTCCTTGAATCATGTTTTGATGTACATAATTATAACTGCAAGGCTGTGTGGCTGTGTTCTTGGGCAGCAGTGTTTTAATAACAACTCAGATTGGATGATGTGATATCTGGAATACCTTGATTATTCTGGACGTCACAAAATTTGAACCTTATCGTCATTGTTTTACACAATGTTTTACACAGGTGTTTTACACAAATAACAAGAAACACACTGTCGCAGAACACAGTATTAAATTGCTCTTGGAAATCATGCATTGCATTTGCAACCTACAGATTTAAGTAAGCAAGCAGTTAACTAGCTAATCTTCACTTTAGGCTGATTTTCACAATTACCTTTAGGCTCTTATCCAATGAGAAGACAGATAACACAATGTATAATAGAGTACTATTAGTGTCTTCCTCTAAATAACTGTTCTTATTTTACAGACAAAGGGAATCAACAAACCCCGACTCTATACAGACAGATCCACTGCAAATTTTTCTTGAAGCAGTGGAAAACTGTAAGCCTATCGTTGGGGTCAGAGGAATGAATAGAGGAGGCAAGGTCTATCAGGTAATAAATTATAGCACAGTCTGGGTTTTACTAAAAAAAAAAAAAAAAAAAGAAAAGAAAAGAAAAGGAAAAAAAGCACTTTATTTTAGTGTTAAGGTAGTTTAATTGGGACACTATTTTACGTCTCCAAAAAGCTATTTTGCATTTTACGGGTCATCCGAGCCACGCGAAGGTCTAGCCGCTTGCAGTACAAATAGAGTATCTTCATTTCTCAGTTATTTTAAGACCATGGGTATTGGTCGGGCCTCGGGAATCGAACCCACGACCTTCCCTCTCTGCAGTTAAGCGACTGCAGCTCGACTGAGCTAATCCTGCCACGGTTAGGGAAGTAACTGTACATGTACTTGGAACTAACATGTAAGTGATCAGTGGCTGAATGGCACTTACATCTGTAGCTGATGACGTGCCAATGGATCTCTACACGGTGTTTTCCAACTTTTTATCAAGGACCTGTTAGGGAAAATCCTTCAAGACCGCCGCTGGAAAAAACGCCTTTAAATGTCCAAGTTTGAAAGTGATTTATGTAAAATTTTGTGACTATGAACACTATATGAGGGTACAAACTTGTCCCGACCACACAAACGTCTGTGAATTTTCGCAATTTGCAGAACTATTTCTCCGCTTCCTTGAGCTGTATTACTTTCAAACTTAGCAAGTTTACTAATTTTGTGGCGCTCTTTCCAGCAGTGTAGACGGATTTTGCTAACTGATCCTTATCAACTCGAGAAAATCCATGGAAGAGTCTATTGAAAACGGGTAAACCGCCCCCCCCCCCAAAAAAAGGCTAATAAAGGTTCAAAAATTACATTTAATGCTTTGCATTTTGTTGCTTTCTTCATTTCCGAACACCGTAATGGAGTCATGCAAGCTATTCTGACGTTTCGCTCTGTCAATAAAGTGATGATGTCTAATTGTGTCTTTTTGAATATGCTTTTCCTGTTCAGGAAAGCAGCGGAAGTACGTCTGTTTGTCTTCTTTTAGTTTAAGGACCGAGATTCAAAATATTACCTTTATCCTCAGGGGCGCAACTTTCCAGATTTGGGAAGCAATCATGTTAACAATTTAATTTAATTTTTTTGTGTTTTTGGACAAATTTAGCTGGTTAGCACAATCTCATAGTACTTGGAAAGTAACAGTCACAAAATTAGGAGTCGCTCCAATTCTAAAACGGATCGTGGCGATTCCATTTGAGTCAAACTATCTCTTGGAGGCCTGTAGTCAGTAAAGTTTCGCATTGTTTCTTGTCTAACTTTCAGGTGCCCATTCCTCTTCCTCCTCAACGCCGCCGTTTTCTAGCAATCAAATGGCTGATCACCGCTGCTCGGGAACAGCAGAAAACAAATAAGAACGCAAGAATGTACAAGAAACTGGCTAAAGAACTTCTCAATGCTTACAACAATGAGGTAACAAGTGATCCTGATACACCATGCACTTGTCACTTTAATAGTACGGTACTGATTTTGGACAGAATTTTGTGTTTAATTGACCAAAATGGATCGAAGCGCGCATCTCATTCGCGGTTAAGGAAAAGAACAGCTGCCTTCAAAGTAAAGTCAAACTCCGTTAATACGGACAATAAGGGGGCCATAGAAAGTATCATCATCAGCACTTTTATTTATTCAAGATAAAAACATCAGGCTAATTTTCAATATCCGAAAATGTTGCAAACTACTGAATTAACAGTAATAGCACTTACAAAATGAGTGTCCGTATTAAGCGGGCGTCCATAAAGTGGGCTTCGACTGTACTATCGACTGCCTGGTTAGCCTACCACGCCTGTGTGGGAGGCTACCGCCTGGTCGTCCAAAGTGGTAACAGCATGGGAAGGAAGCCACCAAAATACGTGGACATAGAGTTATGGCACATTCAAAGATGGTATTCGAATTATCTTCATTATGCCTGAAATGACTTTTGTGTTCTTTATGTCAGTGTCCCTATAGCCTGGATTTCAGAAGCAAATCAAGCGTAACGCCATATGCAAACAGAAGCGCTAGCCAATGGCTCCGTCCATTCAAGCCAAGATATTTTTGAAGCGGCACATTTTATTTTTGTTCACGAATCGGCCTTCCGTCCACGCGAAACCAGTGAATCTGCTTACCGAAACTGCATCTTTTTTAAACCACTTTGCGGAGTGGTTTTCCTCCTCCACACGAATCCCAAGTGTCCCCTGTCGTGTGGACGGGGAATTTGGGGCCAACCTTCGTCTAAACACCGAATTTATGTCTAGACCATTTATCCGTCTCAGACTTTAGTAGAAATTCTGCCAATAGGGAGCTTTGGCACCGACGACGGCGAAAGCAACGGCAACGATATCCAAAACAATAACTTTGCAAGTGGGTCACGCTTTCTTTACATTTGTTTGCCGTTACTGTACGACTACAATTTGAAACTTCCTTCATTTCACGTTTTGTGCAGGACTTGAACACAAGATCACGACTTTTTTTGCCTGAACTTTGAGAGCCCTTCAGAATTCAACTCCCGAAGAAATTGCCAACATTTGATGTATTTAAGGAGATGGAATAAGCGCGATAAAGTTTGAAACAGCGCTAATTCACTTTTAAGGGTCGTTTTGGTAGCCGTGGTCTTCCCTACTACTTGTATCCCATCCAAGTCAGTTTAAAGAATTTGTTTTGTTTTGTTTTGTTTTTGTTTTGTTTTTTTTTTTTTTTTTTTCATTCGTTGCAAGTACGTGACTTAGCTCAAAAATTCCTCGTCTTACACGCGATACTTTTGTTATATCAATAGGGTACCGTGATAAAAAAGAAACGTGAACTACATAGGCGTGCAGAAGACAACAGAGCGTATGCACACTATCGATGGTGGTAGCACCTTTGAGATGGCCGAGGATCAGTTTGTACGATGCATACAGTGTATGCCAGTTAAAGGAAAAGGCACTGTGCAACTCTTTTCACCGCCACGATGAAAGTCCAGATAAAGGGAAAATTCAATGCTAAACGTCCCATTCAACGTTCTGCAATGAAACTGCAAGACACATAACCTGCGTTGCAGTAGCCTGCGAGCAAGCTCCCCTGGGCCCTCTTTTCTCCCCCACCCTAGTAACCCCGGTAGAGCCTGACAGACGTAATCTAGCCCCGGTTAGCAACGCCTCCGAATTAGCGCCTATATCCTTGTACCGGGCCCCCAACGGACCCAGTGAATTACCGCAAAAAATTTCGAATTTCTTGTCAACCTGATTGAAAAGTCGACAATGGCTTTTTTAACAGGCCAATCGTGGCGTATACTCAAATCCTACTCTACAAGAATTTCGGTGCTGTTGCGCATAAGTGGAAGTTTAGTTCCGTCCGTGGCTGATTGTACAAGACACATTGTCTGCTGTTCATATAGCCTGGGACCAGGCACTGCAAATGTACATAAATCCTTATTTGAAATAAAATGAAGACAAAAGCACAATTTTCTTGAAACCGTTTTCTTATTAATTTCTTTATCAATTTCATAAGCCCTGCTCCTAAAATGGTGAAGACATTATATGATTATCCTGATGATCGCACTATAGGTTATCCCCCTTGGTGGAATGGAATCTGCTTGATAATGGTTTTTTTCCTTTCATACAATAGGGCCATTTATACGAGGAAAAATAGGACACGTCTTACATAAGACGCTTTCCGGATGACTAGACGAGATGAAATTATTCACACTCAGGAAAGGGAATGTGGCAGCTACTCAGCCAGGTTTCAAGCCAAATCGAACATCCGGTTTTGAGCGGTTGGGGGCGTGGAATGGAATACAGGAGACATAGCGCAGGATCAGTGGCAGAGCTGAAATTACTGGAAACAAGACGCTGTGGGAGCGTACACCTCGGCGCTGTGCTTGTGGATTAATTGGGAATGCGGAGGAATAGTAAGAAATGATATTTTTCCGGATACCCTTCCATAGAAATACCCTTACTTTTCTCCTTTTAATGTGTGTAACAGACGTCTTAACCTCTTCACCGGAAGTCTGCTAGGTGCATGACCGTGTGACTGAGACCTACTTCGATTATAATTTCAGTCATAAATAAGTTGCGCACGACGAGAACTCAGTTCCACTTCCTTTATTTCCTTTACAATAACACTTTTCACATTTACACTAACAGTCAACTCAAAATCTTGTCCAGCAACGTAACTAACTAACATGAGTACACTTCCTTACAAAACTTGCAGAAAATGAACAATCTCCACACCGAGGATAATTCATGTACAACGTCGCAACACACTATCTAGCAATATCCCTTGCGATACTAAGGTTTTTTAGTAGCGCCACTCAAGATAAGTCCTGTTGGGCGGGGTTAGGAACTGGATGGGTAACCCACCGCTAATGTCGTCGTGAAAGTCCCTACTTTGTTTCTTCTTTTCTTCTTGGCCTATTTTGTGGTGTTATTTTTAGAAGTGTATTGAAAGCATATTTAGCATTATTTCGGCAGCTGGAATAAGAAAAAACACACACCCAAACACAGTTCGCGTAAAAGTAATTTTTGCTTACCTCGAGCCGTAGTACAGAACTGAAACTTGGATCTGTCCGTGGGGAATTTAACTGGCAAACTAATAAATGTGGGTTTTCCACTGTGTAAAACGACTTCCAAGCTAGATTTCAGGGGAAGAAGACAAGGTTTCGACAGTAAAAAGCCAATCTGTTCGTCCGACATAACAGGACATGCATAAGCAAACTCGTCTGCGAAGTGAGACGCAATGAAAATTGTTCTTGCATCTCGATTTTCGTTCGTACTTTGAAGCTACTAGCCCAAATTACTTCAATGTTTTCCGTAAAATACTTTAGCAGGCAATATTTCTAGCCAGAATGATAAATAAGAATAAGAATAAATGATTAAAGAACTCGAAGATATCTGGGACTAATTAATTCCGAAACAACTTCGGGACATTCGAAATCAACTTTGAAACATTCCTGAGCGTCGCCGATCCTTTACTTCCCCCCCGCAAGGAGCCAATACATAGAAAAAATGATAAAAACTAGTAGTAATCATAGATCAATAAGTGCGTTCGAGTTTTCTTAGCTCCAGATTAGCTTTTGTGTCGTCAAGCTTGATTTCAAAATCATGGAAGAGATCATGAATTAAAAGGTAAACATTCTTTTCGTAAAAAATGTTCTTCGCGTATACGGCTTCAAAATATCTCACTCATTAACTCTCTACTCTTAAAATGTCTTACTCTCCCTCAAGCATGGTCGATAAAAATGTAAAGTAGATCGTAAAAAGTTCTTTGTTGTTAAAAAGATAAACATGTCACTACAAACTTCGAAAAAATGGTAGCCTTGAAGGTTAAAAGTCTTGGCTTCTTGCGTGACACAACTTGAAGTGAAATCAATGATCATAGGAGCGACGGAAACATATTAGGTTTCTGCTAGATTACTGATGTCAGAGAACCGGACAGAATCTTTTGCCATTGTGCAAACTTTTCATCTCATGATTATTTTACGTTCATGTAGGTCAGTTCAACATGTTTTAAACTTAGCTTGCTTCAGCGAGCGAGATACTTATCATGCAAAATTACCCGCGTAGAGATATCAGACGTGAATAAAGCATTACAGTTGTAACAAACTGCACTGATACGCTCAAGCTTACTTTTTCGTGCATGAAAGAGGTTAAACTACAAATATGTAAATAGACTCAAACGCACGGGTAAACTTCTCACGGCACAAATGTTACCTGGTCTTTATTTGTGTGTTTCTACGAAGTTCCAGCTCGATTTGAACGGCATTGACCGAAAAGTTTAGCAGAATCATCAGCTCAGTGATAAAACCCGCTTAGAAAACAACTCCAAAGTTCATTCTTTTGCCGAACTCAAATATTCCCGTGTAATCATCTAGTTGACCTTGATGGAACCAGTGATGCACGTGATTGCCATATGACAATTGCTTATGACGTAAAAAATAGTTGTGTGCGCATGTCCACCAGGTGAGCCCGCAATTTCTTTGGCCGGCTATTGGGCTTAAAATTCGTGCGCGCGCTTAATAATTATTCAAAATGGCGCAGATTTTGAACATCGCCCGTCCAAGTAACCAAAAATCTCGAATCTTCACGCCTGGCATGCACAGGTATCCCATCGACCACAGGATCCCCAAAGATTACGAAGCGTTCTCCTAACGTCGAACGCAATTAACGGAACTGGGGTATTGGACCAGATGCGGAAGATGTGGCGCCTGGCAGAGCGTAAGGCTGAAACCTACTGCGGTTCGCCTAATGGCCAATCCGACCGCATCTGAAACAGGTCAGGGGGTGGAAGGGGGTGGACCCGGGCACGGCACGGACTGCAGAACGAGGCTCACCCAAGCTCTTGTCAACTTTAGCCAAGAGACTGCGCTGAAAACCTTCGCTGATCGCTGTCGGAGAAAAGGGCCAGAAAATACGCTTTAAATTGCTTTTTTAGGCTTGTGAAAGAAAGAGCTAAGAAAAAAGGTACTAAAAAGAAACTTCAGTCTACCTTTCCCCGGTGGTGGAAAGAATATATTTGGAAACTGCAAAAACAACTAAGGGAAAATTAAAAAGGGGGTACGAAGGGCAATCCCCCTTCCTCCCCAAAAAGGCTAAAAACTAATTTTTAAGCCCCTGGGGAATGGCGGCCCTAGCGCCTGGTAATCCGAGAGAGTGAAAGTCACTACTCTAGGCGCCGCCATTGGGAGCTAGAGGGAAAGGCGAAATTAGGGAGAAAAACCCGGTTGACCCGTATACGGGATCGAGAAAACAAATGGAATAAGCGACCCATGTCAAAAAAAAGAAAAACCGAATGGAGAGTAAGGCCACTTAAATGTAGCAGCAAATTACTACTCGGAGAATAAAGGAAGTTCACAACACTAAAAGTGCATACTGACTATAAAAGCTCAAAAAAAAAAAAAACTGGAGATAAAAGACTCCAATAAACAAGCGGACTCTGTGCTATCCGAGAAAAATAAAAACCCCAATAGGCCAGTTTACAGTTATGGCTGGAAGCGAGACTAACGGTGACCTTGTTTAGATACACAGCTTCCTGCTTTATTATGAAAATCAAGTTATTCTTATGCTAACTAGTATTTTTCAAGGATAATTTCCATAACAAAGCAAAAGAGGTTTGTATCAAAACAAGTTCACCGTCAGCCTCACATTCACTCGAAGGCTAGGGTACTAAGTCCACAACTGTAAACTGGTCAATGAACCACTCCAGAAAATACCATTATGATATAAATATACCATAATGCTCTTTGTTTGTCACCCCAAAATTCAGTGCATAAGCTTTGTCTTCATTTTCTCTTGGGAGTTAAAATGGCCCCAAGAGAAACTGAAAACAATGCTTGTGCACTGAATTTTGGGGTGACAAACAAAGAGCATTATGGTATGTTATGGTATTTTCTGGAGTGGTCAATAAACAAATGGGACCTTCTGTCAACCCGCGAAAACAAAAACCTCAACAAACAAGCGGGGCCTTCTGTTAACCCAAGTAGACAAAAAACAACAATAGCGAGTGGAATCTTTTATTAACCCGCAAAAATAGAAACCTTCAATCAACAAGCGGGACCTTCAGCTATCCCGCCAAGACAAAAACAGCAATAACGAGTGGAAGCTTCTGTTAACGTACCCGGAAAAATAGAAATCTTCAATGAACAAGCGGGACCTTCGGTTAACCCACAAAAGAAGAAACCTACAATAAACAACAGGACCTTCTGTTAACCCGTGAAAATAAAAAATCTCAATAAACAAGCGGGACCTTTAGTAAACCCGCGAAAAAAATTCAAAAAAAAAAAAAAACAGCAAATAAGCGGGAGCTGGTAAAAACCCGTGAAAACAAAAACCTTCAGGATACAAGCGGGCAGGTTTGTTAACCCTCTTTAGAAATCCACGGCATCCCTCAAGAAGCTTATACCACAACCGAGGATGTTGTTTTAAAGATAGGAGAGGTATTGGATGTGCCGATCTCTCCGGGTGACATCTAGCCTACGGGGCAGGCGTTTGAAAGGGAAGGGAAAGGGAGTTTTGGGAAAGGGAGTTTTAGGCGCGAGAGAAACGTGAGGGGCGCACACAGGCTAGGTGACATCGAAATTTCTCCCCAGCTCAAGTAACAAAACAAACCAATTATTGTTAAATTCCTGAGCCACAAGGTTAAATCCAGTCTTTACAAAAATGGTACGGCGCTCCCCGGGGGGGGGGGCTACTCGATATATCCTTAGGTGGGGAGGTACAGCCCGGCCTCTTATACCCTGACCCTGTTTAAGACAAAAATCGCTGATTTTCCTACCCTATTTAAGGCAGAATTTCGATTTTTGATACCCTGTTTAAGACATTCGTAGAACATACGCGCAGGCTGTTTATCGTCCAAGAAAAGATACCCAGTTTAAGACAAAAACTGATAAAATCGATACCCTGATTAGGACAAAAAATGATAAAATCGATATCCTGTTTAAGACAAAAATCCCGAAAAACATACCCTGGCTGGCCGCACGTCCCCATTAGGGACCAAAATGGAAGAATCATTTCATTTAGCCTAGCTGAGCTTCGGCTCTGCAAATATTTCATTGTGCAACATATATGCCCCCAACGATCTACAACAACAGTTAGCCTTTTTGCGCAATCTGAATAACTTTTTGATAACAAATGTAGATATTGGAAATATCATTGTTGGCGGCGATTGGAATGTTACCCTGGACGCTGTTGGCAAAAAAGGTGTGTTCCAGTGGAAACCCACCTCATACCGCAATCAACTCATTTCCATGATGAAAGAATTTTCACTGATTGATGTCTACAGAAATCTTAATCCAAGTAAGCTGTGTTTCACCTACGAGTCCAAAGCATTAAAACTCTCTTCTCGCATTGATTTTTTCCTCGTATCACAACCCCTTGCAAATCGAGTTTCTCATTTCGATACTTTAGTTTCCATAGCGCCTGATCACAAAGCAATTAGAGTCCAATTGCAACTGGAAAATGACAATAGAGGCCCTGGGCTCTGGAAATTTAATGATTCATTGTTAGAAGACGAAATTTTTGTTAAATTGATCACTGACAGCTATGCTGTCATCCAAAACAAATACTCAGGAATTGAGGACAAAAGGCTGAAATGGGAAATCATTAAGATGGAAATACGTGGCATCACTATTCCTTTCTCTAAAAATAAAGTTAAACAGTTACACCAAAAAGAAAGGGACATTCAAAACAGACTACAAGTGCTTGACAGAGTCATTTCTAACAGTCCTAATACAGGCCGTATTAAGAATGAAATAAACGAACGAACAAAAGAAGAAATTGATCTCATTTATCAAAAGAAGGGTAAAGGTAGTATCATACGTTCCAAATGTAAATGGATTGAACGAGGTGAAAAGCCGACCGCTTTCTTTTTCAACCCAGAGAAGAGGAATTACAATCGTAAGTGAGTTAAAAAGCTGGAGGGAGCAGAAGGTACAACCTTGACCAATGAGGACGAAATATTAAACGAAATTGAAATCTTTTATAAGCAGTTGTATAACTCCGGATTAGACGAAAACGACTTGTTCGATTTGTTTGTACAAAGTCTAAAAACTCCTAAACTCCAAGACCAACAAAGAAACGAATTAGAAGGCGAAATTACACTGGCGGAGTTCAAAGTAGTACTCCGGACTTTCAGTAGCGGGAAATCACCAGGCGAAGTTTTACATGGGAGTTTTATAATTGTTTCTTTGATCTACTACGACAGGACTTAGTAAACTGTTTTAATGACGCATATGTGAAAGGCGAAATGTCAATATCGCAGAGAAGAGGTGTAATATCTCTCCTCCAAAAAGAAGACGCAAACCTCCTAAAGCTTGCAAATTGGCGTCCCATTACGTTACTAAATGTTGACTATAAAATTGCATCAAAAGTCATAGCTACGAGATTTGAAAAGGTTTTAGATCTCTTAATAAGCCCTCACCAAACAGGCTTTCTGAAAGGTAGATCCATTGGGCAAAATATTAGATTGGTCACTGATGTAGTAGAACATGCCACAAACAAAAATACAAAATATTCCAGGTATTCTTGTACAGCTTGATTTTTGTAAAGCTTTTGATACTATCGAATGGAGCTTCTTTTATAAGAAGTCTCGCACTCTTTAATTTTGGAGACAGTATACAACAATGGGTCTTGACTTTCTATAATAATTCTCAGAGCGCTGTTCTTAACAATGGATTTTGCACAAATTTCTTTTAACTGTCGAGGGGAGTGAGACAAGGCTGCCCTTTGTCCCCTTATTTATTTACCGTTGGGGCGGAAATCTTAGCGTGCCAAATCAAACAAGACAAAACAATAACAGAAATAAAAGTCTTTCAAAAAGAGCTCAAGCTAAGCCAGTTTGCCGACGATACAACTCTTTTATGCAATGATTGCAATTCGGTCAATCGAGCTATCACGGTTCTTAATTCCTTTGGAAATCTAGCCTGCAGTGCAGGCGTATTTTGGGTGGGCGAAACCTTGTTCGTGTTCGTAATGTTGTTGTAGCCGCAGTCTTTGATTTTATGAGGAAAACTATCTGGCCTCAGGCTAAACCCGTCAAAAACCAAAGCGCTTTGGTTAGGGTCATGATTAAGAAATCGCAAGGACGAACCCTTTAACTTTAAGTGGCCCAAAGAACCGTCGTGGAACCTATATTTCACACGATGAGAAACAAAACGAGGAATTCAATTTTAAAGGAAAGATGCAAAAACTTGACACCATTCTTGGCATATGGAACTCTAGGAACCTCACTCTTTTTGGTAAGTGTCTTATAACGAAATCTCTTGGCATCTCACAGCTAGTTCACCCACTTTCAGCACTCGATTTCCCAACACAATTCGTTCAAGCTGTTAATTCAAGCATCTTTAAATTTATCTGGAAAAATGGAAGAGACAAAATCAAACGCAAAATTATGGTCCAAGACTATAACAAAGGTGGTCTACGTGCTCCAAGCATAGAGACCATGGCCAAATCACTTAAACTGGCATGAATATCCAGGTTCTTACAAAGTATACCTGCGCATGACGAATCATGGAAGGTCATTCCCAACCACTTTATCGATAAATACGGTGGCTTGAACTTCCTGCTACGTTGTAATTATGACAAGAATTTTCTTGATAAGATGTGTCTCCCTTACTTCTATAAGTTAATATTACTGCATTTCTTAGAACTTAAAATTTCTTATAATACTCGCAGTTTTGCCGGTTTTTGTATTATTCAACAACAAAGATATCTTAATTGGTGGCCGTTCATTCTTTTGTAGAAGTTGGTTGAATAAAAACGTCTTTCTTGTTCAAGATCTCTTAGGAGATGATGGTAAGGTACTTTCTTACTCGGAATTTTTTAGGAAATTTCGACTGAACGGTAATTTCTTACAATACATGCAAGTTGTTTCTGCGAGTCCTAAGGATCTGATCGATGACGCACGGAGATACCACATTGATAAAAATAGTATTTTGTCCGAAAGTTCCTTCCAGCTCTCAGCGGACCTTTCATTATATTTACTTAAAATGAAAAATAGAAATTACTTCTGGCTCTTAATTAGTGAAGATCAACATGAAATAAGCGCTAACATGAAATGGCAAAGAGACCTCTTTCCTGAAATAGTACTTGCAAGGCATCATTTCTCCCGTGTGAAAAATATTTGCAGAGATAACAAACCAAGAGAATTCTAGTTTAAACTTTTACACAGAATTGTCGTCACAAAAAGAGAACTGTTTACGTATGGTATTGCAGAAAATGTGCTTTGTCCTTACTGCAGACAAAATTATTCAATAATTCATAGTTTTTGTAACTGCCACTGGACCAAGTGGTTTTTTTCAGAAGTAATCAAATGGTTCAATGTCGAAAATGCCACCCTCAAAGCAAAAAGAATCAAAGCTCATCGGCCATTGTCAAAAAGCTCGATTTTACTCTTTTGTTTGCTAAATATTACTTGTACATAAATAAGTTAGCTTCTAAAGATTTATCTTTGGATGAATTTAAGGCTAAAATCAGTTGGAGATACGAGTTCGAAAAACCCCCTCCTTCAATTAGTTAGTAAGTATCCATCTTACCGGAATAATCTGTTTATTAGCAGGTCTAATGTTACTGTGCGAATTATTACAACTGCTGTATTATTCTTTCTCGTCTTTATGTAATTTTGATCCAATCTGTTATATCGTTATATACGTTCTTTTAGTTTTAAATTTTGCAACTGTAATATATGTTTTGTCAATAAACGTAAAATTGTAAGAAAAAAAGTCGAAGGGTGAACGAAAAAAATGAAGGCTACAATGTGCAAAAGACACGTGAAAATAACGTAGTATGCCAAAATGAATACAACCAACAGTAAGGCGTGCAACCAACAAGGCAGAAAACAAACTGTAGTTATGTAATAATTATTGCATATTAGTAAAATCCAACTAGTGGTCTATTATCAATGCTGCGTTCTGATTGGTTAAGCTACTACTAGGCTATATGTTATAGCCCACTAGTAGCAAAGAGCGCGGGCTTTTTGGCGGCAAAAAAGGATTAAATTCTAGCTTTAAATATAGCTATTTTTTTTGTTCTCGTTATTTTTGACCAACTAGTTGGATTTTACTAATGTGTTATGCTAAACAATGATTAAACAGAATTTTTAATCATAGGTACTAGGGAGCAGCTGGCCAAGGTTAACATCAATTGCATTAGGGTTGGGTCGACTGATATTTGTCCTGTAACAGTAGCTAGAAACCTAGGCTCATGGTTTGATGAGCAGCTCACTATGTCAACTCATATTAGGAAGTTATGTGGTGTTGCCTTTTTCCATTTGCATAATATCAAACGCTTTCGCAAGTATTTGTCTCGAGAATCAACGAAAATGCTTGTCCATGCATTTATTACATCTCGTGTTGATTACTGTAACAGTCTTTTGTATGGGGTGCCCAACTACCAGCTTAACAACTTGCAGAAAGTTTTGAATGCCTCAGCCAGGCTAGTTTGTAATGCCCCTAGGTTTTGCCATATCTCACCCCTTCTTCGTGGTCTGCATTGGGTTCCTGATAAAGCCCGTATACAATCATGTAAGATACTGCTTATTACGTTCAAAGCAATTCACGGCCTTGCTCCTAAATATCTATGTGATTTACTAACATTTAAATCGCCCTCATATAACCTTAGATCTTCAGGTAGTATTTTACTTCCTATGCCAGCTGTTCGATCGAAGACGTTAGGTGATAGAGCTTTTATGGTAGCAGCGCCAACGCTCTGGAACTCTCTTCCAAAATAACTTCGAGCGATTACTAATGTGAACAGTTCTAAGGCGCGTATTAATACTTATCTTTTTAGAACTTTATATTGGTGAGCAATTTTATATTCAGTTCTTACTTGCATGTATTATATTCTTTTTATTGTTATTTTATTAATTATTATTACTTTAATACATGATTTTTTTATTTGTTTCTTGTAAAGTAATGCAGTTGTAATGCGCAGCTAAATCTTGCCGCAAAATCTGCGGGAAAACTGCTTGAGCAGCATGGCGTCCTGGCCAGCCCTTGGCCTCTAAATGGCAGGTTGTAAGGTTGTTTTTCACTAGCGCAATAAGCATTAATTAACGAAGCGTCCGCCATATTACTTTTGATATGTTCGCAGGAGGTCTGGGTCAAAGACCTATGATTGGTCCGCGGCCTTGTGCTTATATATGCTTGTGCTTATGTCGACCCAGTTTCCACTAGTCAAAGTTACGAATTAAATGAGCATAAGCAAAAGCAGAAGCACAAGAAGAACGAACTTGTCCGTTTTTCTTGTGCTTATGCTTATGCTTATGCTTATGCTCTTGTTTATTCGGAACCGTTTAACGTTTTCGCTGTGTTCACGTGTTCACACGAAACTCAAGAACCAGGTTAAGCAAACCGGCAGTAAAGTAGCAAATCCAAAATGGCGTTTCGCACCATTCTGAGCAGAAGAAAAATTTCAGATGGTCATGGTGTTCCCTGGATCCCGCTGGTCCGATTTCGATTTTACCGGCTATCTAAATCTCCGTCAGGAACGGTTAAGGTTTTTCCGAAACGACGAAACACGAAAGGTAAGGTAGGGTAAGGTAAGGTAATCTTGATTTATGCACTGTGTTACAAAATTCATCAGGCATGAAATATTATAAAAAAATTTAAAAATCTTAATTACATTTACTGGGTTCCGCTAAATACAATATTAAACTGATTTAAGTTAATACCACGACTTTTCCACGACTGCCGTGCCTTACATGATATTATAACAACTGTGCAAAAGTGTCTTAAAATTAAGTAGCGATTCTGCTTGCCTTAATATCTCAGGAAGACTATATATTCCACAGAACAGTACCATGCCACTGTAGCGAAAACTATAACGGAGACAAATTGTGCGTGGCTGTGGAATAGTTAATGATTTATTTACAGAATCTCGAAAAGTGTATGAAGTAGGTACTCAGGAGCAAGGCCATTGAGGAATTTAAGAGCGAATGCACAGAAAAATCGAGCAAAATCGGCAAATCGTGGCCACAGCTCAAAACCTAACTTACCCTCATTTTCAGTCTGTAATAAGGTTTTAATGAGTTTATAACACTGCTGAGGTTTAAATTTCAAAATGCGGCCGAACTTGGGAATTATTTGAGATTTTCGATTTCAACGGTCTGCGGGCCTAAAATTAGCCGCCGAACACGGCAATATAGCCTGGCGACAGAGATGAGCTGACTTTCATAAACGAGCGAATATATTGGCAATCTTCCACTTAAATCTCAAAAAGCAGATATCTAACAATTTCTGAACAGCACATTTTTTAGATTTAGAGAATAAAATATCGACGAACGAGCACAATTTTGAAACGTAATTTGCATAATGCTTATAAATACAACAATTTACCGCTAAAACCAAAATCGAATTTTCTATATGGGGGAATTCTCCAAATCACCCCAAATCCCGCTTACTACCCAATAAGATATAGTACTTCAACATTATCTCAAAGTTAGTCTGGTGTTCTTGCGAACGCTTGTAAAATAGATTGATTATTTTGAGGTTATTTTGCCCCAAACAACCGCTAATTGACCCAAGGGTCAGTTGACACGTGCACGTCACCTTAGTTTTATGCATCGATTTGAGCTCGTTAAAAGGGAGAAACTAACAAGATTCTTTTAACATGTACCTGTTTTAATGAAATACACGCAATCTTCAAAAGGAGAGGCCGTTCAATGGGTAATTTCTGTTCTTGAGATCTTGTAGATTGTACCATGGCGTCTGCGAGTGGACCTGAGTCTAGGTCTGTTTTCCCGTGACTGCGAAATCAGAATAACATCGAGAAATAATTCTCCCTCGAATCTTCGTAAGTGAATCAGCTTTGCAGTGCCTTACCTGAGATAAAAAGTGGCCCGAATAGCAAAACATTTCTAGCGCAATTTGGATCCTTTGTGGAACGCAGTGTATTGCTGAGCGAAAGGTGAGTAAACAAACGTGGGAAAGTACGTTACCTTTGATTGCGTGACCAGCCGGTAAACGATAGTCTCCAGCGAAAAATAGGATTCGCAAAAATCTTGCTGATGTATATTTAACAGTTTGTTACTATAAATTTACAGCTGGTTTGCCTAAAACTTTAAACAATGCATATCTGTCCAAGAGTATAAGAATGTTTCGAAAGATCCACCCCTAAATAACTGTGGGCTACTCCTTTTCCCCCATCACCGATGTGCACTTTCTTCCCACTGTCTTTTGCGTGAGGCTTGTATGCCTTTTTAACTGTTACCGACACTTAAAACTGGCCGTTTAAGGCCTGGTTTAAGAACTTGACTGACTTAAAAAACCGTCGCGAACATGCGCTATTATTGTTTGACTTTGGAAGCTTTAAGCCGAAAATGATGGTGCAATCTCGAGAAATTTGCCCGAGTCTAATTACAAGACAGGGAACGGGTACTAAGAAAGGGACGGTCTCATTTAGCAACCCGTGGACAATCTGGGCATGCTTGCCTTCTGTCGCAGGGGCAACTGTTAAGGCCAGGTACGCCGCCCCCACCCGAGAGGATTGCATGGCATCCACCATTTCAGTCGCTTTTTCCACATTATGACCTTCAATTATCATGAATTATAATGCGGGCCGTGATCGTTGCCACCTTACCAGAAGTCTAATCTTCGCACTGTTAGACCATGAGAATCTCTATTATTATTCCATAAAGGCACCATTGACATTTTCTTGCTCAGTGTCCGGTAAACCGATACTCCGAAGCAAAAATAGCTTTACAACGACTCTATCCAGGCCAGAACTCCTGATATCAACAAATATACCCCACCCCTGCTAAAGAGGGCAAACGTTCCCCGAACTACACACTTGACCCACCCCATCCCTTCGTTAAGAAAAACTACCCACTCAGTCCACTGGACAAAACGCGCTCGTGAATATACCATACTATAGCCGTTCATCCTACAAGCAATCTCAGTTTCAGCAGGCGTGGCCACGTTTCCAGTTACTGTAAGATTAATTCAACACCTGCAACAGACACTGTAAATTAAATAGCAGCCACAACACCCTTCTTTGAAACCGTCAGGACGAGAAAGTTTAGTGTGCGCGGCGGTTTTCTTCCTTCCCTCCCATTGTAGCACTCAAATTCTGACCCTGATATTAATTCTAGTAGTAATCAATCGTTCCTGAGCCGATAGGCACCAGGATACCAGCTTCTTGCAAAATATGCTGTGACATCCGTTTGCTCATCTCCCTTTCTGCCTTCCGCCGCTGATTAGGTTTGGTTCTGTGCTTTAAAATAACTTTAGGAACGAAACATGATACGTGAGGGGCGTGTCCGGCTAAGGGCAAGTGACTCTCGGTGGTGAAGACATATACTGAGCTTGTCAGTATTTCGTAGCCTGTACCACGTCACGAAAATAGAACAAGCAAAAGAAAAATAAGACGCCTTTCTTTCCCCAGCTCCCGCAGGTTTTTCGCTTTACTTTTTACTGCACAACTGATTGTACCTTTTCGAACCGGAGCGAACATGGACGCCCTTGGGGTTAAGTTTCCACTTCATTTTCGGCACCTGACTAAACGCAAGCGCTGACTTGTGCGCCTATGCTTCGTTTGCACTGAAGTAGCAGTATATGACCACGACAGACTTGCTGCTATCCTTGGTTTGAAACCGCAGTGGGCAAGAACAATTTCTTGAAAAGAGCAAACTATTTCCTCCTTAGCGGGCATGGAGAACAACTACTAGGACTTAAGCAATGCCATTGCTTAAGTCCTACTAGACTTGAAAAGAGAAAGCATGATGCTTTCTCTTTTTAATGATTTACAGCTAAACAGTACAATTTCATGTATCTTTTACGCAATTAAATACTTAGTTGTTTGCAGAATTGCATTTAACAACAAATTACAGAAATTTAACTAAGTTTAGATCTCATAGATAAGAATTGCACGGAAAAAACTTTTGGGGTAAAAAAGTCAAAAAATAATGTTTGCTGGAAAATCACTTAATGGACATACAATAGCAGAGATATCATGCCTGTAATTTTCTGTTCAATGCACCTTATGACAAGTCTGGCTAATCCACTGGTAACCCATGCCTTAAAACCGCCTTGAACCTTAAAATTTAATCCATTTGCCTTTCATGCGTAGTGCAAATATATCTTCTGAACACTCTGGGGTTGGGGGTAAAATCAGAAGAACAGAACATTCAGTTACTGTACCATTTTTAAAAGTGGGACAGTATGTTTGCTAATCATCTTAGTTAATCGCTTTTAAAATAGGGCAAAAGGACACCTGGTCATACAGGAAAATGAATTTACTGTATCCCGAAAGCTTTGGTTTCCCGTGCACTTCTTTTTCGCAGGAGACAATCGATAATTGCCTGGTCACGCAATCGGAGGTGAGTAACTAATTAAAAGTCATTGATACCATCGCCGCTTAGCAAATACACTACGTGCTGCAAAGGATCCAAATAGCGCTAGAATGTTTTCCTATTCGGGCCACTTTTTATCTCAGGTAAGGCACTGCAAAGCTGATTCATTTACGAAGGTTCGAGCGAGAATTATTTCATGATGTTATTCTGATTTCGCAGTCACGGGAAAACAGACCTAGACTCAGGTCCACTCGCAGACGCCATGGTACAATCTACAAGATCTCAAGAACAGAAATTACCCATTGAACGGCCTCTCCTTTTGAAGATTGCGTGTATTTCAGTAAAACAGGTACATATTAAAAGAATCTTGTTAGTTTCTCCCTTTTAACGAGCTCAAATCGATGCATAAAACTAAGGTGACGTGCACGTGTCAACAGACCCTTGGGTCAATTAGCGGTTGTTTGGGGCAAAATAACCTCAAAATAATCAATCTATTTTACAAGCGTTCGCAAGAACACCAGACTAACTTTGAGATAATGTTGAAGTACTATATCTTATTGGGTAGTAAGCGGGATTTGGGGTGATTTGGAGAATTCCCCCATATAGAAAATTCGATTTTGGTTTTAGCGGTAAATTGTTGTATTTATAAGCATTATGCAAATTACGTTTCAAAATTGTGCTCGTTCGTCGATATTTTATTCTCTAAATCTAAAAAAAAAAATGTGCTGTTTAGAAATTGTTAGATATCTGTTTTTGAGATTTAAATGGAAGATTGCCAATATATTCGCTCGTTTATGAAAGTCAGCTCATCTCTGTCGCCAGGCTATATTGCCGTGTTCGGCGGCTAATTTTAGGCCCGCAAACCGTTGAAATCGAAAATCTCAAATAATTCCCAAGTTCGGCCGCATTTTGAAATTTAAACCTCAGCAGTGTTATAAACTCATTAAAACCTTATTACAGACTTAAAATGAGGGTAGGTTAGGTTTTGAGCTGTGGCCACGGTTTGCTCGATTTTTCTGTGCATTCGCTCTTAAATACCATAATAAGGCTCTTTGGATATCACGCAGAGTACTAAGATTTTTCAATTTAAATTTTGGAACAGCTGCGATGCATCTGTGTCATTTAGCTTGAGAAAGTTAGGGCTCTTGCTGCAAGATTTTGGGGTTTTTGAAGTTTGTCTGCTAGTTTTATGCCACAACTTCCTCAAACAACATTGCAAATGCGGCTGAATCAAGGCTTTGTAAATAAGATGCAATGTTGCTGGGGGAACAAATTGCCTGACCCGTTTGATGCTGCAATACCAGAGGCAATTTTTTTAGCCAGCTTCTCTATAGGACTGCCCCAGGTAATAAACGTACGACTTTTCAACGGTTATAAAGTTCGTCCGGTGTCGTTCTGGTCTGGTGCTGTGGGAACTTAGCGTTGTTCGCGAAACTTCTGATTCTTTTCTCTGACAAACTAACCAGTCAAAACAAAAAGACTTATTAAACGGAAGCGACCGGCCGCATTAACCAGCTTATAATCCTCGTTATTCATTTTTGTGACCTTGAATGACGTCTCTGGTAAAATGATTTCATATGTTAACAGAGCTCTGGCCAATCACAGCTCTAAAAAACCTCGTCATGACCACATGGGCAAATATTTGTTAATAAGTAATAAATTGAAGTGTTTCTAGGAATTACGCCATCTCTCTTCCCGGGATAGTTTCCAAGAAAGCATTTCAGTAACTCGCATTTTAAAATGCCGCTAAGATTTTACCTTATCTTGATAATAAACATTTGTTGAAGGTTCCTATACAGTTGGAAACGTAGTGGATGTCAGGCGTACACGAGCCTGGCATCTTGAACATTCGAAACTAACCACGTAATATGAAACAAGCTCCCTGAAGTTTACGTTCGATCTTCTGCCAAATCATGTCTGTTGGTTTCTTGTGTTAGTATGAAGTTTATCCATAAACATGTTTAAAGTGAACCATATTAGCTCATATTAAACAGGCACTGTGCCTTTTATTAAACCTATACGAACCTCAGAATGTCGCAAACGCGCGTTTCACTCTTCATTTTTAACCTTGTCTCGGGTGCATTGTTGTTGTATTTATCAAGGCATGGCTGTAGGTTTGAGAAATCCCAGTTTAGTATCTCATACTTAAACAAGTTTCAAATAAGTGTTATGATCTACAAATTAACATTTCTCGTTCTTAAACGGTTCGATAGATGTTAAGAATTCGGCGGGACATGAAGATAACATGGCTGTTATGCGTTTATAGCTTTTAAATCGCCGGGATCTAGGCGTTTGCTACTTTTTGGTAAGTGTTCCCAAATCAAATCCAACTGCAAGGGAAGCATGTCCGAACCGTACAAAGCCTGCGAGACTTACGACTGTCCCATGATTAGTCTAGTAGATACCAACAGGAACCCTGAATAGAAAAGACAGTTTTCCTGGAGGCGTGATTCATGATTCACATGAGTTTACACCATTATGGTGCTGTATGTGGGGCTCTATGACGCCTTAATTTGTTAACGAAAATCTGACCAGTTGTCAATTTGATAAAAGACACTAAAATACAACCATCACGGTGGTTTTTTTAAATGTATTTCCAAAAAGATTGTGTGTAATAAGGAGACAATCTCTTTCGCCGTCTAACGTTAATTAGAAATTTACTGCAATCACTGCAATCACTATATTTCAAAAGGGAACGGAAAATACTGGACACAATCATACGTTACCAACTATACGCGACAAACAAACACTTTATCGAATTTGTAGCTTATGATCAGAATAAGAAACGTATCCGTTCAGTTTGTGTTTCAAGGATCGCCATACTCGTCCTTACCGTCTTCAGGCAAATAGGGCGACATGAGAAAACCACGTAGTCGCAACAGTCACATTAGACTAGGAGAATGGAAAATTGTATCCTTAAATTCCTACAGGATACCGACTTATATCAATAAAAAGTTGACTTTGTCGTAAGAGTTAGTAATATAATATATAAGAACTTTTATAATATAACTTTCTCCTCATTCATGGTCCTGCATTTTAGTGCTCTGCCATACAGAGCATTGAAAATAAGTTTTTTTGCGGAAGTTGCTCTCCCCAGCGATGAACTGACGGTAAGGCCATCTATCGAAGAGAAATCTTGAATTTCATATCAAGGTTACACCAGCATCAAAGTTTTGACAACAGAAATCGACATCTGTTATGTCCGCATTGTGAAGTACGAAGTAGCCAGTAGTTAAATTCCAATTGTACTGCTTACCTCAGTAGCCCGGCCATCACACGTTAGTTGAGAATTTATGAGCCGAGGACAAGTACAGTGCTAATGCTATTTCACTCACTGACCGACATGATATATAAGACTCGCTAGTGATTGTACACGACAAGCATTTCGAAGCTGAAATACTGAAGATAGTCTTAAGAATGCCTGCATGATAATCAGTGTTTATTCTTTAGTGTTCTTTAGTGTAGTATGCACATGCATTAAATACATTGTCGGAGATTAACTTTTCAGTTCTTGGAAATCTAGCGGATATGTTTTCGCTCCTCTCAGAATTGAGGGATTTTGTGATACTTGCACACATTTCTCAAACATTGCAGAAAAAAAGTTGTTTGTTTTCTTAAGATAAACACTATAACGATTTTCAAGCCTTCTTATTATTTTATCACTAAATCATGAAGCTAGTAAAAATAAGAGTGGTACGAGCAATGATGTCACTTTTTAATTTTTTGACATTTACATTTTTCGTGTCACGGCCAGTTTTTCATTTCCTTACTGTCTGTTTATCAGTAAGGAATCTGCTTACTAAATCTTTGTCGAGAAGCTATATAGCTACAAACTGTTTCAGATGCATTTAATATTATTCTCGATTTTACGTCCCTGTTAAAATTGATAGCATTATTATATAATTCTCTATTTCAGAGATTTGTTGGAGTGAGTATCTGACTAGGTTTTACCTTTATAAAGCAACAAATACCTGTGCATTCAAAACTTGCTTGATAATTACTGTCGTTTGAGGGTTTTCCATATTTCTATCAGTTCTTTAACGCACTCGTAGCTGTGCCAGCCAGACAATCTCCCTTCCCTATTCAACAGATCCGCCGAGTCGACGAGTACCTTCTCGGTTATCGCTGGATGGGCAGTTTTATTCCTGCTCTCCTGAAGTGATTTCATCGCTCTTTGGTACTTCAACTTCTTCCAGCTCAGCTTCTTCTTGAGTTCATCCCATTTCTGCTTCACATCATCTTTAAGCTGATCGTCAGATATCTCGTTTATATCTTCCTCTATGTGCTTAACTTTGTAACTTTTTTTGTCATCGTATGAATTTGGGAAAACGCTCTGATACATCATACCTTGAATTCCCCAGCACAGCTGACCCAGATTGATGGTAGCTTTCTCGATCATGGCTTGCTGTTCAGAGCTCTGGGGCAAAGGCCTTTTATCAAAGCCCCCGGACAGTGCCGTGAGCTGAACTGTTTCTTGAACGTTCTTGATCTCCTTTTTACGAGACGCGTTTTCAATAGCGTTTTCATCAAGAGTTTTGTTCATTTCATCCACTTTCTTCGACATCTTTTCTAACTCCTCTTCCAACGTAGCGTTTTTTTCTTCATTGGCCTTGTTCGCCTGTTTCAACTCTATTACCTGCTGTCTCACTGAATGTAGTTCGACTTCAAGGGAACCCAACTTCTTCTCTAGGGCTGCTTTGTCACTTTCCAGCTTGTCGATTTTGTTTTCCAGAACCTTTATCTTTTTGTTTTTTGAATCGAGAGCTACTTTTAATTCGTCATTTTCCTCTCGGAGTTTTCTTGTCTCTTTCTTCAACCGCTCAATTTCTTCATCCTTCCCCTGTATTTCGTTCTTAAGTAAGGCGATTTGCGCGGTATGGCGAGTGATAATAGGATCATGAACAAAAATTCCTCCTTCAGTCATCGTCATCCTAACATAAGTGTTACCGTGTGTATTTACTTCATTGTCCTCCTCCGTTGGGTTGGGGAGAAGAACGTTCATCGACCTGGCAAATCTATCGGCCATAGCTGAACTAAGCTTTCGCTATCGAGCTGTAGTGTCAACACGGAATAGAATTTGGTCGAAGCAGTTTACCAAAATCGGGAGTATTCAGTAACAAATGACAGGTGTCTGTTATTATGACGTGGACCAATTACATGCCTGTAGAGTTTCGTACCCCTTCACAAACTCGGACGAACACCCCACATATAAAACTGTCAACAATTTAGCCAATCACCAGTCGAGATTCAACAAAACTTTCCCCCAGGACGTTATTTCTCATGCCAAATAATTATTGATTCTAAAACGTCTTTCATTTTCAAATAAAACTATATTTAGATACCCACATAATCTGCGCCCCGTTAACTGCGGAGTTGAAAAAAGTTGGACGTGTAACTTTGAAAATAGCGTGTTACCCTTTCTCAGTTATCTCTTCAGTAGCTTATTTACAGTATTCTAACAGAAAATATTAGTATCTTTGTGGATGATAAAGGAGTCAGTTTGGAGCGAGTTGACATGGATGAGCAGTGATGCATTATTAGTGGTTAAAACAGTGATTACATCGTACCACTCGTACCACACGTTGTCCACTTGAGTCAGTTCCACCATAGTTAAAAGAAAGCAATGGTTATGAAGCCCGTTAGACGCCTTTGTTTTATGTTTGTGTGGACCTGCGGGCGCACAGCGCCGGTTCAATAGTATTCCCATCATTTTGACCTAATTGACCAATGCAAACGTCACATTACACTATTCCGTCACAATTTGCCCGCGTGAGCAAAAAACAAAGGTTGAGCATCGCTCCTGCCTGCTCATTCATAAAAATAGCATTATTGTACGAACCACAGCTTAGCTTGAGAATTATGCGATTTTTGATACAAGCACTAGCCTTTGTAGGAATATTTACATTACCAGGCTGCTCATTTCCTGATATAGTGCCAAGTTGAATTTCCTAATTGAATGAAATTGAAAAAAAAAAATGAAATTCTCAGACCCGAGATCCTCCGCGAAGCACTTTGGCTGGCTCTTTTCGTCTAGATTTATAATGCACATCTTATTTCAAAATACAGGTACAACAATATAGATGTTTAAATTTGGATGCGAATTGTTATTTTCTTAAAATATTAGGGTCACCGTACTTGTTTTTGCGGTGGAGCGGAGGAAAGTACACACGGGCCTGCATTAATTCCGCTTTTTGGGCTCAGGATTGGAGCCAGTTTCAAAACGGCGTGTATGTGGAAAATAGCATTGAAAGAGAAAGATTTTATGGAATTTACATCCAGATAAAGCAATTAGAAGTAGGAAATAATGTGATAACGATGAAGCTTCTGTGATAACGATGAAACATCGACTATCGAAGGCCTCGGTGGCTTTTGGTTTCTTTCGTCGAACAGATAGCCTCTCCCAGTCGAGAGTGGAGAGAAGGCGGTTTGAGCTCGTACCAAAGGGTGATTTAGTAATTACTCTGGCTGCACGATTGTAATTTTTGGAGCTTATCACTCAAGTCACGACTCAAACAGTCCCAGACGGGGCTTCAGTAATGAAAATGAGGCATGATTAAAGCTTTATAGACTTGAAATGCAGTTTGATTGAATATAAAGCGCCGCACACGTTTTAGGGCGCCTATAGCTGAAGAGACTTTGAGCATCTATTGTAAGACCCAAGCATTTGGTATGATCGACTCTCTTGATAATTTGGTCATCAATTCTGATTTCTACATGGTCACATTGGTCAGATATATAGTCTTTGTCTTTATCCAATTATAATCATCAGCTCTGTTTTAGCAACATTAGACTGAGCTTCTCAGCTTTCATTCAACAGCTAAGGCTATTTAATTCAGGGGTTAGAGCTAGCTTAAGCTCTGTTAACGTCTTAGCAGATAACGTAAGATTGGTGTCATCGGCAAACATTCTTGGTTCGGCGTCCCGCAAGGAATTGGGATGATCATTACTATAAATTAAAAATAGCAAAGGACGCAATGTGCTACCCTGCGGCACGCCGCAACTGAGGGAACGAGCAGTTGATAGTTTGCCACTGACATTACAGCATCCAAAAAACGGGAAATCTGTCATTTGGGTTATGTAAGAGTGCCCAAAAGGGCTAACAGATGAATTTTACGGCTTTATAAAGTCGAGAAAACGTTCTATTTTTGTGATTAATTCCCATTTAAAAGACAGTGTGGTTAAAAAGAATGCAAACCGCTAAACAAGGTACCATTTGACAATAGAAGGTATACGAAAAGGGTACCTTTTTCGTGAAAAATGGCATATAAAGGGGTAAGGGGCTGGACCTCTGGGCGGAGCCTCCCGGCTTAAAAATTTTTTAAGTAACCCCTTCCCACTCCCTGGGAAATTGAGAAGCTTGAAACTGATGATGTTAAGGTAACTGAAGATGCGGCTATTGCTAATTCAATGAATGAGTACCATACCTCAATAGCATCTGACTTATTACAATCAGTAGATGATAATCAAGATCATTGTAGCCTCACAATTACTCCAACAGTATTGAATGGGATCAAGCATTTTCGATTTAAAGAAATCAGGGGCGGATCCAGGATCTTTTTTAGGAAGGGGTGCACTCGTCTCTTGCTCTACTTCAACACCAATAAACCACATAGTTTTTTTTTTTGGCAGAATACCAGCTGTACTAGAAAACCGCAGGTCATCTCAGGAGGGGGGGGGGGGGTGCGCACCCCCTGCACCCTCCCCCTAGATCCGCCCCTGGAAATAAAAGTTGAGGATTTTTTGAAGTCTCTAAAACCACTTAAGACATGCAAGACAAAGGGGGCAGATGGTAAACCAGCACAGGTATTGAAAATCGAAGCAAGTCCACTCCCGGACATTTTCCCACCAGTCCACTAATGAATCTTTGCTCTGAGCTGGTGGGAGTTTTTCCTGAACCCTTAAAGGTTGCAAGGGTAACTCCAATGTATAAAGGTGGTGTATTAACCATCGGACGTACAAGAAAATTCATACCCCCACCGTGGTACAAGGGGGGATGGAACCCCTACCCGGAGTTTTTAATATGTTGCAGTATTTTGAAACGATTTTAGTGGAAAGCCTTTGATCTTCTTAACAAGATGAGGTATATTTTGTGATCGCTATGGTCGCTATCTCGGCCGCCATCTTAGATTTTACCAAGAATTGGAAATCAGGTTAAAACAGAGAGAAATGGTATTTTTTTGTGCTTTACATGAAAAATAACACATATAAACACTTTTCATGATTTTAGCCACAAGATTTACTTTTAGTATTGAAAGAAGTTGAAAAAAACATGTATTTTCACCCAAAATTGGCTTGACCGCTTGTTACTTATGACGTCATATCTCGTAACCATAGCAACTGACCATCACTAAACTCGTTTCAAAATCTGCACAAGGGATAAACGAACAGCTGCTGATGTTTTATCCTCTTGGAAAAAAACTCACAAAACCCTTATGGGGGGGCATCTATCCCCCCCCTGTACGCCCGAGGGTTAACTGACAGAGACAAGAATAGGCCAATATTTTGCCTATAATTTTTAAAAGAGTATGAACGCTTTGTTATGAACAATTACAACAACATGCAAGTCAACACAAGTTTATTACTGAAGAACATTTTGCTTATTCAAGGAACTCTTCTATTATTACACCAGTACTAAAAGTCGTTGATGAAAGGAAATGGGCCATGGACAACATCCTACTTACTTCTTATGCATTCCTAGTCTTAAAGAAAGCGTTTCATGTAATCCATTATTCAATGCTAGCCCTTCTAAACAAATCAGAACATTATGGAATTTGAGACTTGAGATAGTTTCAAGATTACCTTTTTAATAGAAAGGGATACGTGCAAGTTAATGGTACTGCCTCACACAAAAGGATTATCAGTCATGGAGTACCACAAAAAAAAAAACAGCTACTGATGAAACTCTAATGTTTCTTTATGCAGACGACACTGAAGTGCATCGCTCTGGTTTCGATCTGGAGGTACTTGTAAATGAAGATCTACGGAATTTCGCCTCTTAGCTTCGTCAAACAAGTTGATCTTGAATGAGAGAAGTCTGAGTTGATGGTGATAGGAACAAGGAAAGGGTTGGACCTAGGTTTCGAAATGAATATACAGATAGAACAAGACCAACTTAAGGTTACATATTATTCAGCACATCACCTAGTTGATTGAAACAGTTTCTCCCAAGATTGCACTATCGAACGGGGTCAATCACAGGGTCAATCAGGTTTCTTAGCTGCTAAGATCTTGCTAACGATACTTCCAGTGTTGGGTTGTGGTTGTGTTGTTTGGCGGCATGAGTATAATAAAAGCCTGGCTGAACTGAAAGGATTGAAAAAAATACAAAATAAGGCTATAACAGTGACCTTAAAAGCCAAAAGAACATCATGTACTTTGGGTTTATTGACACTTTTTAACAGAAGACGATTCCTTAAATTTATTTGTATCTTCAGAATTGAAAAAGTCAAACTTGTCCAAAGCAATTGAGTGGTGTACTGGTCCAGAGAAAGCAGCTTCATGGTAGATCTCTTAGGAACAAGTGTATTTTAAATGTTAAGGGTGCAAAGACCTCTTCTGGGCAAAGAACAGTTGAAGCACCTGCATCCAAAGATTGGAATTTGCTGCCAACGAAAATTAAGAAAATAGCTGTTTTATATTATCTCGTTTTAAGAGGGAGCTATACGATTATTTAAGAAAAGATGATATTGAAAATGACAGGTGTACATTTTAATTCTTTTAATTGCTTTTAATCAATTGCATGCCAATTTTTTTAAATAGGTTTTTTCTATGTTTTATGATGCTTTGTATATTCATCAGCTAAATATTTTATGAAGCTTGTGCATTATTTAGCTAGACTAGACTCTGGGTGAAGACAAGTGTGTTTTTTTCTAATACTGAAAGACTTTTCCAGTTTAAATAAAGCATTTATTATTATCATTATTATCATCATCACCATGAAGGCCTTACTACCCTTTACAGTTGTTTCCAGATAATTATGCATTAACTCGTGAACTCGCTTTAAAGAGGGCCATCTCTAAAGGTAGTTTGGCATGCATAACTGTGCTGAGTACATTATTTCTCAATCAGTAAATCTGTAAAATGGAGAACTTGGTGGTAGCAAACTTAAAAGTAAATACATATATTTTTTGTATAATTCGACAACAATCTTTACACTAATTAATTTAAAAACATATATCGATATGGCACATTATGGAAATCACGATGCTCCATTGCATTGTCTTGACAATTGCTCTGTCAATAGTAATATTTTTCCACAGGTTTGGCAAAGAGCATGCTTTTCCAACTGCATCTAAACTAAGTTGGTCTTCTCGCCAATTGCTATTTTCCTGAGCACAAATGAGTACACGATTTGCTCAGTATGGCAGTAGACAATTTGTAATTAGGGGCCCGTTTCTCCTAGGGCCCGGTAACTTTTCGCGTCCAAAGGCAAATTTTGAAGTCAAAACCTGTAAGTTATTCATAGTAGCACAGTTCCTAGCTCACAAACCTGTCAATTTTGCTTCGTTAACAGATGTTTTCATTTTACCCATTTTCAAAATTACTGAACCTTTGATCTTGAATGCAAACGCGGAAAACAAAAAGCAGCTTTTCGGGCCCGAAAAGTTATCGGGACTTCGCGAAACGGGCCCCACTGCCCTTATTATCACTTTCTTAACCTAGCTGTCATTTATGGCTGAGACGAAATGGAGCAGAATGCGACAGAAAGAACAACCACCACACGTTTTGGTGGGAAATCGGTCTGTCGGTGGACTGGAACGGGTAGCGCATGCGTAATGTTTGCGATTTTGAATCACACGTATATTTTATTGTCATGAAGTGTACCTTCAAATAACGAGATATAAAATGACCCAGTCATCTTGTAAACGGGATACAAAATCAGAAAGTCATCCCGGTATGAAACTCGCGCCGGTGCGAATTTTCTCACGTAAACACCCACTTAGTACTGGACACATTCTCGTCTAATTAAAAAACGTGCTGGAGTTGGGAGATAAAACTAATCATTTCGACTTTAGGTTGATGGCTGTTATTTTATTCATTTATCTGCGTTAATCATTCATTGATCAATGTAGTCCCTTAAAAATGTATGATTCGTTTCTCCTCAAACTAATAAAAAACAGGCTTTAAGATTTCCAAGTATTATTTTTATTACTATTATTTGTTAAATTTATGCCAAAACCAAGTTGCAGTATATCGTTGCAGTTATTTTGCTTGACTTTTCCAGATATCCCGCGGTTATTTCATTTTCTGTGACCTTGAACGACGTTTCCGGTAAAATGATTTCATATATTGCGACAAATCTGACCAATCACAGAGGTCTAAAGAACCTCGTGATAACCACATGAGCAAACATTTCTTAATAACTAATGAACGTTTCTAGGAATTACGCTCGTCCTTTTGCGTGGGATAGTTTCTAAGAAAACGTCTCAGAAGCTTTTTGCTTTTATTTTATTTTGTTGATTTTATAAACTGTTGATGAACGCTCCCATACTGTTAGTACATTGAACTTTCATAAATAATCAGAATAAGAAAAACTCTTTCTGCGGTTTACGTTCGATCTACCGGCCAATCCTAAATGTACGTCCATCCATACACGCAGTGAGACCTGTTTAAATTGAAACATAACTTGTAAAACTTAAAATAGTTACACAGCTTGATGTATATATGTTACAGGTTAAAATTAAATTCAGGTTAAAATTTTTTAACCTAGGAAATTGAGAATCCACCTAGGTTAAAAAAATTTAACCTGAATTTAATTTTGACCTGCAATATATATATACACAAGTGAACCTCAAACGGTCTCTACATGTGTACCTCTTTTTGTGCCAGAGAGGAAGTAAAGACCACTAAATGCCTTGCGAGTGTATCTACATTGTAATGTACTAGTACGGTACATGTGTAAACTTCTTGACAAAGTGGCCAGTTTATAGAGGTGAAGGCAATATAAAATAACTAGCTGGGACACGACTGCTTAACAGAGGTAACTGCTGAAAACGGGTCAGTTTACCAGTAGTTAGGGGAAATGATTTCCCAGACTTTGGTAAGTGACTACTCAATAAAGGGGGACAGCCTAATACAGGTTTGCTTAATACAAGTTCGACCGTACATTTTGCATATTTATTTACCGGCACTCACGTTAACAACAGTGCATGACTCTAAAGAATTTCAGCACTTGACGCCTAGGTAATTTTCAAACGTAATATTATTTTTTTGGTTCATTTACCTTTCTGCTTTTAACCGGTTAAATGATATTTAGTACATGTACATTCTTGTGGAGTTAATGTGCTGTCATTGTCGTTTCATCACAGGCTCTGGAGGATATCAAGACGGAGCAACTACAAAAGTAAGGTTAATTTCAGATCCTTCAAGGAATAATTAATTACTGTCACGTCATTTTTGCTGTTAGTGTCGGATTGGTGTGATCGGGAGCATGTCCTTACAGCAATGAATCTGTATGTAGTTTCAGTGGGAGTAACAGCTGATTCCTTGAATCATGTTTTGATGTACATAATTATAACTGCAAGGCTGTGTGGCTGTGTTCTTGGGCAGCAGTGTTTAATAACAACTCAGATTGGATGAGGTTTATGTGATGTCTGGAATACCTTGATTATTCTGGACGTCACAAAATTTGAACCTTATCGTCATTGTTTTACACAATGTTTTACACAGGTGTTTTACACCAATAACAAGAAACACACTGTCGCAGAACACAGTATTAAATTGCTCTTGGAAATCATGCATTGCATTTGCAACCTACAGATTAAAGTAAGCAAGCAGTTAACCAGCTAATCTTCACTTCAGGCTGATTTTCAAAATTACCTTTAATTTAGGCTCTTATCTAATGAGAAGACAGATAACACAATATAATAGAGTATTATTAGTGTCTTCTTCTAAATAACTGTCCTTATTTTACAGACAAAGGGAATCAACAAACCCTGTAAGCCTATCGTTGGGGTCAGAGGAATGAATAGAGGAGGCAAGGTCTATCAGGTAATATAGCACAGTCTGGGTTTTACTAAAAAAAAGAAAAGAAAAGGAAAAAAAGCCCTTTATTTTAGTGTTAAGGTAGTTGGCACGAAAATACTAATTGGGACACTATTTTTACGTCTCCAACTGAAGACCGGGCCGCCATTTTACATGGTCATCCGAGCCACGCGAAGGTCTCGCCACTTGCAGTGCAAAGGTAGTACCTTCATTTCTCAGTCATTTTAAGACCCTGAGTAATGGTCCGGCCCTGGGAATCGAACCCACGACCTCCCGCTCTGCAGTCAACCGCTTTACCGACTGAGCTAATCCTACCGCGGTTAGGGAAGTAACTGTACATGTGTACTTGGAACCAACATGTGAATGATCAGTGGCTGAGTGGCACTTAGCTGATGGCATGTCATTAGATCTTTCCACCGTGTTTTCCAACTTTTGATAAGGACCACATTAGGGAAAATCCGTCGACACCGCCGCTGGAAAAAAAACGCCTTTTGATGTGTAAAATTGCCAAGTTTGAAAGTGATTTTGTTAAAAACTAACTCATACAGTGTAAGGTGTATATAGTCAAGAAATTTTACAGAGTACAAACTTGCTCCCGCCACACAAACGTCTGTGAATTTTCGCAACTTGCGGAGCTACATGTATATCTTCGCTCCGTTGAGTTGTATCACTTTCAAACTTAGCAAGTTTACGAATTTTATGGCGCTCTTTCCAGCAGTGTGGACGGATTTTGCTAACTGATCCTGATCAACTTGAGAAAATCCATGGAGAGGTCTATTGAAAATTGATAAAAAAAAAAAAAAAAATACGAGCCAATAAAAGTTCAAAAATTTACTGCTCTGCATTTTCTTACTTTCTTTATTTCCGAACGCTGTAATGGAGGTCGTGCAAGCTATTCTGACTTTTCGCTCTGTGAATAAAGTGTTGATGTCTAATTGAGTCTTATTGAAAATGATTTTTCTGTTCAGGAAAGTAGCGGAAGTACGTCTGCTTGTCTTCTTTTAGTTAAAGGACCGAGATTACAAATCTTACCTTTATTCTCAGTACTTTTTTGGGGGCAACTTTTCAGATTTGGGGAGCAATCATTTTGACAATTTAATTTAATTTTTTTGTATTTTTGGCCAAATTTAGCTGGTTAGCACAATCTTATAGTACTCGGAAAGTAACAGTCACAAAATTAGGAGTTGCTCCAGCGTTCTAATGTCTAAAACGGATCGTGGCAATTCCATTTGAGTCAAACTATCTCTTGGAGGCCTGTAGTCAGCAAAGTTTCGCATTGTTTCTTGATTAACTTTCAGGTGCCCATTCCTCTTCCTCCTCAACGCCGCCGTTTTCTAGCAATCAAATGGCTGATCACCGCTGCTCGGGAACAGCAGAAAACAAATGAGAACGCAAGAATGTACAAGAAACTGGCTAAAGAACTTCTCAATGCTTACAACAATGAGGTAACGAATCATTCCGATACACCATGCACTTGCCACTTCAATATTACGTTACTGATTTTGGACAGAATTTTGTGCTTAATTGACCAAAATGGAGAGAAGCGAGCATCTCATTCGCGGTTAAGGAAAAGAACAGCTGCCTTCAAAGTAAAGTCGAACCCCGTTAATACGGACAATAAAGGGGCCATAGAAAGTGTCCGTAACAATGAGGTGTCCGTATTAAGCGGGCGGCCTCAAAGCGGGCCTCGACTTTACTATCGACCGCCTGGTCGTCCAAAGTGATAACAGCATGGGTCAAGTATTCAAGGCAGCGTTAAAAAGCCACCAAAAAACCGTGGGCATAGAGTTATGGCGCATTCAAAGATGGTGGCTCTGTCCATTCAAGCCGAGATATTTTTGAAGCCACCCATTTCATTTTTGTTCACAAGTCGACCTTCTGTCCACTCGAAACCAATGCTTACCGAAACTGCATCTTTTTTAAACCACTTTCCAGAGTGGTTTACCCTCTCCACACGAATCTGGGTAAGCAATAATGTGGTTTTGATAATGTCCCGTTTCGCGTGGACGGGGAATTTGAAGCCAAAGTGCGTTTAACAAGCGAATTTATATCTAGATGATTTATCCGTCTCAAGTATAATTTCGGCCTATGGGGAGCTTTGGCACCGACGACGGCGAAAGCAACGGCAACGATAACCAAAACAACTTTGCAAGTGCGTCACGCCTTTTTGTACATTTCCTTGCCGTTACTGTACGACTACGACGAAAAACTTCCTAAATTTCACGTTGTGTGCAGGACTTGAACACAAGACCACGACTTTCTAATTCTTTTCCTGAACCTCGATAGTCCTTCAGAATTCAACTCCGGAAAAAATTGCCAACATTTGATGAATTGAACGAGATGGAATAAGCCAGATAAAGTTTGAAACAACGCAAATTCACGTTTAAGCGACGTTTTGATATCCGTGGCCGTCGTTGTTGCTTAAGCTGCCTACTTCATATATCTTATCCAAGCCGGGTTTAAGGTTTTCGGGGGTTTCATGCGTGGCAAGTATGTGACTCAACTCGAAAATTCATCGTTTTACACGCGATACTTTTGTTATATCAATAGGGTACCGTGATAAAAAAGAAACGCGAACTACATAGGCGAGCAGAAGACAACAGAGCGTATGCACACTATCGATGGTGGTAGCACCTTTGAGATGGCCAAGGAACACCTTAATCTTAAAAAAGCTGTGGGATGTGGTAAAATTTCACAAAGAGATCTTCGCCTCTCCAGCCCAGTAATGCGGATCCATTAACAAAATTGATAAACCATTTTAAAAGACCCGCTCGTGGTTAACGGTGTGGATAAGCAGTGTATTTGTTCCGGTTTTCAAGAAAGACAATGACACAGATAAAATTTGCTATCGGCCAGTTTCTATACTGCTCTTTTTGAAGTTTATGAGAAAGTTTCATTCGATCAGACGTATGAGGAATTTGGTACAAAGTTATCTTCATGTCTCTGTGGTTATTTAAAAGGACATTCTTGCTGTACGGCTCTGCTGAAAATGACCGAAGACTGGCGAACATGCCTCGACATTAGGGAAGCCTTGTCAACTGTAGCACTAGATCAAAGCAAAGCATTTGATTCTGCTTCTCATGGTCTTTAAGTGCAAAATTCAAGACCTGGGGCTTCCCTAGTGACGTACTGGTGACAATGTTGGCCTATATACAAGGAAGGCTACAATGTGTAAAAATAGACAGTGTCTGTTCAGGAAGTGTGAAATCTGGCATCCCACAGGGATCTCTTTTGGGACCACTGCTATTCAATATTTACATGAATGGCTTGACTTTTTGCATAGCTGACACATTCGTAAGACTCTAAGCCGATGACACAGCAGTTTACATTTCTGACGTTTTTTCTGTATTGATTTTTTTTCCACGGGACTCTGTTTAAATTAGGTTATTATATGCTAAACCAGATGTGTCCGGACCTCTTCTCGGAGGCCCCATATGTGGTTTGATTCTTGTAAGCGACCACCTCCCTTAAGCGACCACTAAGTCTTTGCATTTTGGGTGGTCGCTTACGGGAGGTTTGACTTTATATTATTTGATTTTACGATTGTAAGTAGCTTTGTAATTCAGTTTACCATGCCCGTCACAATGTTAGGATCGGAGGAAAGACCAACAATTTGGGAAGAGTTGTTTATAACGATTGACTTGATTGAGTTTTATTTGGCGATGCCTAGATAGTGATTGACTGGCCAAGGTGAATGAAACAGAGTGCTTCTTTAGCTCGAGTACCGTATTCACGTCATTTATCGGAATACGGCTTCTGTGTCGTTCAAACACCATATCTGAATCGTCTCGGTAAAAACTTCAAGCAGTTGCTTTTATAACGCCCACATTAGTAGCCCTTGTGTATGCTGGCGTGTTCTTCAGAGAAGCAAAAATTGGAATGATAATTATTCATTTACAGCGAATGGTACATAACACACAGGGTTTTACAGTAAACGCTCTTACGAAGTATGACACTCATTTTAAGCGTTATGCTGCTAAAATTACCCATATTAACGCACATTTGATCACATTGTCTGACGAAAAGAGTGAAACAATGCTATTAAACGGCTTTAAAAAATAAAGAACAACCAGGTCCGTTATCAATAACCTGAGATCAGGCTCTATTTTCGTTTCGCTTTGTAAATAACATGCAGGCGGGCAAGGCGAAGCGAAAATAGAGCCTGATACAAACCTTGTACGAAACGTCTGGCGCCCACATTTGCCGAATATATGCTCATATGTGAGCGAATTTTATTCAGAATAAATAAGGACGTAGCCCACATTGGTTCTGCCTCGGATAGTTATTTCACAGTTTGCGAACTTTCTCGCCCAAAGGATTCCCAGAGTAGGATGAGCGGTCTTGTTCCTGCTCTCATGGCTCTCGTATGAGGCACATGCATTCATAGCAAGTACTTGACTTCGTCCCATCTCCGCCGTTCATCTCTTCGTTCCTCGTCAACGATTTTGTCAATATCTTTTTCTGTGTACTTATTTTTTACAACTTTCGAGGTAAAGGAAAGCTTTTCTTTATCGCCTAAATGGTCGGCAGATCCGCGGCAGAACAGCTGTAAGTTAAAATCCTTTTATCAGGGAACCAAATGGCGACCTAGGCTCAGTCTCCAGCCTTGAGTGTCTCGATGCGTCAGCGGTACTCCCCACCCGATGTATTTTCAGCAGGGGAGACTAACGTTAGGCAAGCTATGTATCGGTCCCTAGAAAAATCACCCCAGGACACCCGGGATGGATTTGATTTGTATAGTGCCCAGGCCTCATTTGCGGGCCGCGCGTTGACTTCGTCGCATCGACTTTCGGCCTTTTTGGAATATATTGGCGGCTTCGAGTTTGTCAAAGCAGGATTCGCTTCTCTAGCTGGGAAAGCTTCATTTATTTGTATATCTGATGATATCCTACTTCTACGATCCTAGCATGTTTATTTACCTTTGGAATTCGAATTTCGTGTGTAAAGTAGTGTTGGAAAGGGAGCATGGCGGCCGAGATGCCATCTCGTGCCTCTTACGTTGTGTATTATATTGTGTTTGGAGGGTAAATTTGAGCAAATTATCACCAAACTTCATTTGAACATTAACGACAACAACAACTAACTGCAGGGTAAGTTTCATCGACCTATTTCCTACAAATTTTAGGATCGTATTTTTACCCCATACAAACGCTGTAATTTTACTGGAAATGTACTGTGGTACTATAACAGAGCCTGGGTAACCTGTGATGAAAACGGTGATTTCTGCGCGGGTACAAAGCAAAGCGGTCAGTATAAAACATGGACTGCGGACTGCGGACTACGGACTGCGGACTGGGTATAAAATACAGACTAGGTATAAAACGCGGACTGGAAAATATGGACTGGGTATAAAACACGGTCTAGGTATAAAACGCGGACTGCGGACTGTGGACTGGGTATAAAATACGGACTACGGACTACTTTGGTAAAAACGGTGCTAATTGGTTCTAGGTAAGGAAAAATAAGATCAAAAGATCGCTAAATAGCAAGACACGTGAGTTAAAGTTGTAAATACTCTTATAGATTCTTGGTGGAGGTGTCCCGCCCGGTTCTCTGAATCATGAGCCGGATCAAAATGCTATTTTCTTCCCCCATTTTTAGACCTTGTCTTGGTCTCTAACAATCATGAAAGGGGTCAGGATCAGGGGGGTACTCCCTTATATAAGGGAAGGGTAGGAGTTTTGGGCCTTTTTGGTCTGAAAACACTTTGCCCATTTTGGTGTGGAATCGGGTATGGTTTTCGAGGGTACAACGGGAGCGTACATGAATGGACGTATTTATCGTTTCAATTCCAAATGAATAAGAACGAAATAGAAATGTGCGAATTCGAAATGCATTTGGAGAATTTTTTTTGTTTCCGCTCTAACTTGGTAATGATGACAAAATTTCTGCCTAATCATACCTAACCTGTTCAAGGTTCTAAGATAGTTGGGTCCGATGAATTGAGAAAGCGAAAACACGAAAATAAAAACTGGGGAGTCTCCCCAACTATCTGAGAACCTGGAACAGGCTAAATTAGGCCAGGTCCGAAAATGGGTATGGATTTTAGAGATCTAGTCTGAAAACGGGTGTGGAAAATGACAATTTTTTGGTCTGCAATAAGGTCAGGATTCGGGGAACCGGGCACTACACCCCAACGAAGAATTCCCAGTAGTACCCCCTTCCGGGGATCAGGAGCAGGGTGTAAATCATGTCATCATAATCATCACTTAGAATATAACGTTGAATGACGCATTTCGGTTATTATTCACGTATGTGAGTAATCCCTCGCACCTAAATACTGCTTTGTGCATCGCATTGACCTTCTCGTCTGAGTTCTTCATTCAGTCCTCATATTCCCAAGGCTTTATTTGAAACGGAATTGTGGCGTCCGATAAGAATTTTACTGATCTGACTAATACCAATACTATTTTTTTTTTAATTCGGTGCTTCTTATTGGTGTAAAACTGCAAATTGAAATCTCTTCAAACTCCTTCTTTTCATAAAACTCAGAGTTTAATTTCAGTTGCCTTGAGTACCGGCATAACCTTCCTTCTCCATGGGAAGAATAGACTACGTGAACAGCGTTAAAGCTGGGACTACTGTTTTTGCTAGTCCGCTTTCTGTTTCTCTCAGTTTTACCTTCTAAAGCTGTTTTTATATACATAGTCCGTAGTCCGCGTTTTATACCTAGTCCGTGTTTTATACTCAGTCCGGAGTCCGCGTTTTATACCTAGTCCGTATTTTATACCCAGTCCGCAGTCCGTGGTCCGCAGTCCGCAGTCCATCTTTTATACTGACCGCAAAGCAAAGCTGCGCCGCGCCGATCCGAAGTGGATGGCGTCATCGGCTCCTGGTGCCACTCTTTGGCGCTTGTGTAAGCCGATGGCAGAAAGAAAAAAATGTTTCAAAAGCGAAGTGCTCGCTTTAGCGTCTCGCCGAAATACTACCGAAACAGGCAGACCGCGAATTCGGAGATACGCGTGACAGTTGATTTTGTCGCCAAATGTTAACGACTCGGGTTACGTGGCAATGTTTGTCAAACCAAAAAGGTGAACTCATGGGGCGCGATCCATTCAACCAAAATTCCAACCGGTCCGACCGGGAAAAGAGGACCACCTCAAAAGGTGGACCCGTTTTTTCGAAACTTTTCCGGTTGGACCGAACCGATCCATTGAGTTTTGGACCGAAATTTCCGGAAAGTTTGGTTGAATGGATCGCGCCCATGTGGTCACATTCTTTCTCGGCAAACTAATCAGTAAAAACAAAAAGACTTAAAGAGAAGTATCCGAAAAAAGTTTGCAAGCCTAAACCAGCTTATTATCCCAAAGAAATTCACCAAATCCAAGTTGCGACATATCATTAATGTTGTTATTTTGTTTGGCTGTGCTAGATATCCCTGTTATGTGTTATTTCATTTTTTTGTGACCTTGAATGATGTTTCTGGTAAAATGATTTCATCATAATTAACAGAGTTCTGACCAATCACAGGTCTAAAGAACCGCGTGATAATCACATGGGCAATTCATGGGCAAATATTTGTAAACTGGGTAATAAATTAAAATGTTTCTGGGAATTACACCGTCTAGTTCCGAGGGATAGTTTCCAAGAAAGCATCTCAGAAACTCGCATTTTAAAATTCAGTTACGGTTTTATCGTATTTTGTTGATAAACATTTGATGACGGCTGGTTTCTATACGGTTGGAAACGTAGTGGATGTCTGGCGTACACGGCGCTGGCACCTTGAACGTTCGTAACTCAGTCATGTAATACGAAACAAGCTCCCTTTAGTTTACGTTCGATCTTCCGCCAAATCATGTGTGTTGTTTTCTCGTGTTAATATGACGTCTATCCATGTACTGTAGTGAAACCTGTTAAAAGCGGGCCCCATATTAGCTCATATTAAACGGGCACTCTGCCTTTCATTAAGCCTACACGAGCCTCAGAAAGTCGCAAACGTTTCACTCATCATTTTTAACCTTGTCTCGGGTGCAGTGCCGTTGCATTTATCCAGGGCATGTAGAGCTTGTAGGTTTTAGAAATCCGCAGATGAGTATAGTATCTCATACTCAAACGAGTTTCAAATAAGTATCGATCAACAAAGAAACATTTCTCATCCTTAAACTGTTTACCGGTTTTGAAACCTAAAATACCATGCGCTCTGGTATAGGATTTTAAGACGGAGAATACCGAAATAATGATTCGGCGGGACATGAAGCGCATAACATGGCCGTTATGGGTTTATAGTTTTTAAATCGTATGTAGGAGTTACGCGGCTTTTTGGCAAGTGTTCCTAGTCAAATCCGACCGCAAAGGAAGCCTGCCCGACCTTACACTGAACGCCTTTGAGAGTTACAGGAAGATCGAGGGGCCTCTGCTCGCAGGGTAAACTGCCTCATGAAAGGTATAGTAGATACCGACAGGAACCCTGCAATAGAAAAGATAGTAAATTTTCCTGGAGGCGTGATTCATGATTCACATTAGTTTACACTGTCTACCTTCCCTTACCATTATCTTGCTGTATGCAGATGATGCCTTAATTTGCTAACGAAACTGTCCTGAACACTCGGCAGTCGTTTTGATAAACTCACTAAAATCTAACCATCACAGTTGGACTGAAATAAATTTCCAACAAGATTGTTTGATAAGGGGACGATTTTTCCCTATCTAACCTTAGTTAAAAGTATACTGCAATCACTGGTGTATTTCGAAGGGAAACTGAAGATACTGGACCGGCCAATCATACATTGCCAATAGGACGCGACAAACAATATACTTTATCGCGGAAGTTCAGTTAAAAGTGTAAGAGGTTCTAGTAAGGGCCAAATGTTGATTGAGTGTCTCACACATTTTCCATACAATAACAAGGGACTTAAAAATAAAGGAAACAAGACGATACTAACCTTAGAACTGTTCACTGCTGTTGCTTCATGATCACCGATGATACAAGCAGGATGTCCTCCGTTTCTTCAAACTGTTGTGTTACTACTCAATGATCCACTGAGCCTCATTCCTTACGAGTGCAAACGACCTAACATGACTTTACTCAGTAAGAACTGAATTCAGTAAGCTAATAGAACACAAAGCACATCCGCATT